AAGGGTTTGTAGGCATTGAATTCGTAAAGTGTATCGTATAATGCTCTGAGATGAGGTGATGTAGTTCCAACGGGCGGGCCGGCAAGATAGCTATTCGAGCTAGTACTCTGGTCATAATAGACAACCAGATCAAACTCGTTGCGCCTCTCAAACAATGACTGTTCATGCTCAGGAGACACGACCAAACGTTCCTCAAGTTCTTCTGCCGACACATTTTCCTTTAGTGCCACGGGCTCTATACATAGAATTGACTTTGCATAAACATGGCCGCTATCAAATTCCTCTCGAGGACGCACGTCGATCAGTAATATGTTATATCGCCGCAGGTTGTCCAGCAGCTCCTGAGCAGTGATGGTAGATCTATGTGGTAGATCGGCCGTGCTACTAGCGAATGCTTTGGTCAGGTGAACGCCATTTGGAGTTCGAGACCTATAAGCGTTGTCATCAAGACCATTTGGGCTCTGGCTACCAGGACGCGAACTGGCAATATGAGAATATTGAGGGTGCATTTGACGAAAGCTCTCTGTCGAGGTTCTCGGTGGGTTGGACGGAGGCTGTGAAGGTACGGTAAATATTGGGCTATAAGCAGGATCCGGTGCCCGCGGAAGTGATGTGTTGAGGGGGATTTTTGGTGGTAAAGAAGGTGCATTCTGGGTTGCCCCCATGGTGCGGGGACCCAGAGGCCGCCTAGAAGGAGAATTTAGTTTTGATCCATTTGCTGAACCATGGGAGACATGAGAGGACGGCCGAGGAGACTGGTTTTCGACATGCCCATTTTCATTGTCTCCCCAGCTTTTTGGCGCTGGGCTTCCACCATTATTTGTAGGTGACGTTGCCTTTAGCCGAGCTAGCCGCTGGGCAAGTACATCTGGAGGTGCCGAATACCTGTTCAGCTGCTCTTGCGAGGCGGACGATTGAAATTGTGACGGGCTAGGCATCCGTGTAGATGAGTCTCCTGCCTCATTTTGTCGGTCTCGTTGGCTTGTAGGCAAATACGTGGTCGCTGAGCCCATTTGTGAAACGGGTCGCCGAGCGCTTGGTGAGAATTGGCCTATCGGTTGGGCCATACTCATGAGGTTGTTGTCCACTATTTGTTGCTTGATCGTGTCCACCGTTCCCTGCTTGGTTCGTACGGCCTGCCGACACATAGTTAGCGGAGTCTATTCGACGCAAGCAAGTACTCTAGAGCAAAGCGTAGGTTCCTGTTAGAAATCGGTAATACTTGCCATCATCAGGTCCGAAAACTGCCTATGCCAACCGGGGACCTGGTTTGCGGCGTTCCGATACTCCGGGTGACGTGGAATAAGGTTGATGGTTATTTCTGAAGCGCGAACATATTGCACATATGCTTTGTCGAGCTGGTTACTGTCTGCGAACCCTCGAAATTTCACGATGGCGTCTTGAGCCGTGGTCAACAAATCGGTAAGCTATGTGGACAAAGTTAGTCAAGACTGTACATCAGTTCAAGTGACAAGTCACAAGGCACATACCGATGTGGTTTCGTTCACTTCCAAGGCCGCTGCTTCATCTTGAAGGTCTTTTATGTTAGGAAAGCGCAGCGATAAGCCATTCTGATGCCTCGCCGTTCCATCCGTCTGTCTGCCGCCGGGAACAATACCATCTATGTTATGACGGTTGAGCGAATCCCCCGGCGCGAACGTTGGCGGCGAGGGTAGTGCCGCAGCATCTGGGGCCATTTTACAATGGTTATAAATGAGGATTCATCGAAGCCGGGGGGTATAGGACAATGCGCAAGAGACGCCGAGTGGTGGGATTCGGGATGGTGGCGGCGACAAAGCAGGCAGCCGCAAAAAGGAATCCGACAAAGAGTGGGTAAACAGATGGGGAGGAGCAATCCGACAAAAAGAGAGCGTGTGTAAGGTTTGAAAAGAGAGACGAAGAGCAGGACGAACGGTGACAACGCCAGGACACCCGGTCAATCAACACATGCTGTCACTTGTCTGGCAGATTTGCGGGATGATTCTGGGGTAAATTATGTACGGATTTATGTAATGTATACCGGACACTTGGTGTCATTATTCACCGCCCCTTCAATTACCGGCAGTTACCGGCAGAAACAGGCGGTGCAATTATGTACCGCCTTTTCCTATGACGCCACACAGCACATGCTTGGGGCTGAGTCAGCAGATGTTAGGCATCCAGACCAATGGGGCGCATCGCAAGCGATACAGCCTGGGAGCTCGAAGTCAACCTTGGAGCTCTCACGCCTGTTTACCGTCCCTGTCTCACACTGTTTCAGAAATCACCGATTATTTTCCTGCTATCATTGTCACTGCCTCCAGTCTATCGTCTCTACTTCTTCCTCAGCCGATCTGAGTCGCTGATTCCCCCCTCCCGTGCTTTCTATCCATCCCCGCATCCATCATGGCGGGTTGGTTCTCTTCTGCCTCACCGCTCGATGAGCAGGTTGAGCGCGCCACCGCATCTTCTCTTGAAGATATTGCTCTAAATCTCGAGATATCCGATCTCATCCGATCAAAGGGTGTCCAGCCAAAGGAGGCCATGCGATCATTAAAGCGACGGCTGGAGAACAAGAACCCGAACATTCAAATAGCGACTTTAAAGGTTGGCTTCTCCTTGTTTCACGACACTCTATGAAGACTAATAAAATCTTCTTCTAGCTTACGGATACGTGTGTAAAAAATGGCGGAACGCATTTCCTGGCGGAGATCGCATCAAGAGAGTTCATGGATAATCTGGTCTCGCTCCTCAAGACCGAAGGCGTCCCGTTGAACTCGAATGTGAAGGAAACAATGTTAGAATTGATACAAGATTGGGCCATGGCCGCTCAAGGGCGCATGGATTTGAATTATTTGGGGGAAACATACCGGAAGTTGCAACTCGAAGGCTTTCATTTTCCTCCAAAGACTGGAATTAGTGGGAGCATGCTTGAAAGCAGTGCGGTAGGCAGAAACCATTTGATCAAACACCTCTAAGATCAACCCTAACTTTGTATTACTTGCAGCCTCCAGAATGGATTGATTCCGACGTTTGTATGCGCTGCCGTACATCATTCAGTTTCATGAACCGCAAGCATCACTGCAGGAATTGCGGAAACGTCTTTGATGCACAGTGTTCCAGCAAAACCCTTCCGTTACCTCATCTTGGGATCCTACAACCCGTTCGCGTTGACGACGGTTGCTACGCAAAGCTAACCTCCAAACCATTCGCCCAAGGCGCCTTGGCGGATCGATCGGCTTTCAAGAATACTTCGATCACAAAATCTAGCGTGATGGAACCCCGTACCGCTAGGGCAGAATCGGGATTCGACGACGATTTGCGTCGAGCGTTGCAGATGAGCTTAGAAGAAGCCCAGAATAAGTCTTCAAGCGGCTATGTCCCGCAGCCCAAGCCGACTCAAGCGCCTACAAATGCAGGAACCGGGCCTAGTAATGACGAAGAGGAGGATGCGGATCTAAAGGCCGCTATAGAGGCGTCGCTCCGTGATATGGAAGAGCACAAACAAAAGCATGCCGCAGCCTTGAAGAATACCAATGCTGACGAATCGACCACTCGTGCCACTCCTACCGCTACATCTTTACAAAAGAACCCATATGAACTCAGCCCTGTCGAGGTAGAGAATATTCACCTCTTCTCCACTCTCGTCGACCGATTACAACATCAGCCACCTGGAACAATTCTTCGCGAACCTCAAATTCAGGAGCTGTACGAGAGCATTGGCGCGCTTCGACCAAAGCTAGCGCGCAGCTATGGTGAAACTATGAGCAAGCACGGTAAGTACTGCCCTTGGGTGTCGGTGGAGCATTGCATATCTAACTGGTTTTTAGATACACTGCTGGATCTTCATGCCAAATTATCGACAGTGGTCCGGTATTATGACCGCATGCTGGAAGAAAGATTGTCCAGTGCATATTCTCAACATAATCTCGGATACGGCCCTATCCCCGGAAGTGCTCAATATCCGAACATATACCCGTCGATGCCTTCCAACACGGGCGACGTAAAACCAGGCGCCGAGAATTTCTATTATGGAAACTCGGCCGCCGAACAACCTGGTCCCTCCCGTACACCCTACGCCCAACCGCAGCTTGAACGAGACACGGCTGTGGTGACGCCTTCAATGAACCCGCAACCTCAACAGAGATCCCCAAGCGCGCACTGGAACCAGACTCACCAACCAGCCGCTCCACCTCAACAACCCCCCAGCAACGCATATAACGCTGCAGTTTACTCTACCCCAGGGGCACCAACTCAGTTCTACACCTCCCCCGCGTACCAAGAGCAAGAGAAGCAGTTCCAGCAACCTAGGCAGGGGGAGGTTGAGTCTCCTTACCAGCCGTCTCCAGTAACAAGACGCGACTCATATTACCAGCCGCCAGGGCTCACACCACACCCAGGGGAGCAACCTCCGCCTGTTGAACATGGGCTGCCTTCAGGGTACATGCAGCCTGCAGATTCACGACCACCGCAATCGACACAACCTCAACCAGCAGAGCCACCAGCCCAATCGTATTATAATCCACCGCAGCAGCAACAACCTACACAAGGAGGGAGCTACCAAGGATATCACCAGGGAAACGTTAGTTATCAAGCACCTTACGGTGGTGACGTCTCTCCTATCAGCGCTCCTCCTCCTCCCGTACAATATCAACAACCAGCACCATCTCGACCAGCCGTCGAGGAGAGTCTGATCGAGCTGTAACTTTTGGTTTTGTGGTCTTTTATGCCAAATTGGTGGTTTCTTTTCGTACTGTCTAGTTGTTTCCATGTTACATTATGATACCAGACGAATTGGCTTTTTCCTGGTTGCGAAATTGGATGTACATTCATTCCCGATAGTAGGCGATAGCAACACATCTGAACCACGAATATTAACTCAAACGTTGTAGTTGGATGACAATTACGGAGTCTAGACCGTCCTAGTAGTGAACCTAATGCGGCGTTGGAAAAGTTGGATGGGAACGGCTGGAGTAACGCGTAAGCGGTTCCTCTCCTTCCAGAGTAACCTTCTCACTCTGCTTCACTGGCTACGTCCGTGCCACCTCCTTCTCCTCTCCTCGTTTCGCCTTGCCTCAGTGGCAGCGGATTTTGCCAGAGGGATATATCTCTCGACGAGAGCTCTTCGCCTTATATTTCCGTCATTCTTCGACCCCTGTTCTGCCCTCGTCATAATCCACCAATTGCCTCGCCCCGCGCTCGTCAAGCAACAAGCTCGACGCCATCGCGCATCAATAATTGCTTTTCTTTCTGTTCTTCCCTGGTCGGTCTTGCACGGCTGTGTTGCTGATTATTGTTGCTGTGGTGAAAGCAAAAATTGCAGGAGCAAACCTCCAATCATTGATACTGATTTGCTGCCCGCAGCTGCTTGTCGCTCGATTCGGGTCTTTTGCTTCTGCCGCCATGCCGATGACTTCGAACAACTCGTCCCCCGTTAAGCGCCCGGGGCTGGGCCGCCGTGCTGTCTCCTCCCACGCCGTCGTCACGCGCTCCTCGTCTTCTTCAACACAAGGAGAACTCTCGAACTCGCACACATCTCACTACCCTCATCATAAAGCACCCGGCCACCATCGTCCCCATCGGGCACATCTTGTTGGCGGCGGCCATCGCAGTCACGGTCGGAATCCATCCTTCGGGAAGAATATAGGCAAACTACAAAGACACAATACCAGCCAGGAGTTACGGTTGCATCATCATCATCAGCGCAAAAAATCTGCTCCGGTGACGCCAGTTGCAAGCCCGCCCCGTCAACACATTCGCTGGGATGGAGCAGTGGACGACGCCTCTAACCGTACTAGTGGCTCCATGAAGAAGAACAATTCGAGCCCTGCCTTGCGACGGAGCAACTCGAGTGTTTTACCTAAGAAAGCACTAGTAACTGACCGCCCACATACCAGCTCTGGGAAGAAGAAGACGGTCGGATTTGAACTGGGCGATTCCACAGACGAGGGCGACTGGGAAGATACAACCCAGTCTCCCGAGAGCACTAGGCGCAGTTCTGTTGTGCAAGTAACCAACGACGAGAATCCGGCAGTGCTCGTCGATCCCCTTACGTTCGTGAAGCGGCCTTACCCCCAATTCCCTCGAGCGACCAGTCTTCCCGAAGCTACAAGCAGGAGTTTCCGCGAGGGTGAACAGTCGTCAGACGAGGACAGCGAGGACGACGAAGACGACAACGACGACGACGACGACGACGAGAAGGTGCATGCCCATCTGACGAAGGAACAACCTTCCGGTACAGAGGAGGCCCATCCAGAGGAGCTTACACGGCCGACCGACCACGATATCGCCTCACGTCTTCTCAGCCCATCACATTCAGCTAAAGCACCGCCCGCAATGTCTTCGATATCTGCCACAGCAACACCCGCACCGGTGGATACTATATCAAGGAATGCATCCTTGACGAGCTTAGCCTCCGTCCCGGATGGTGTACGAAGACCGCTATCAGCCAACATTGCACACTCGGGCACACCAACAACACCAGCACCTGGGGGATCTTCCTCTATAGAAGGGGGGGTGTCTAGATTCATTAACAGCCGGATTGCAACATCTCGTACCGACTCGGATTCGAATACTCCATCTTCATTTCTCCCACACTACCACCCGCAAACCCCGCCGTCTCCCCGGAGCGCAGGCCCGAAAAAACAGCGCGGTTCACCATCCTCCCGCCAGCCCGGAACAGAGCCTCATTCCCGTACTCAGCAAAAACTCTGGTTGCAGCGCACTGCAGCATTGAACACTTCACCTCCCGATTCCCATGGTGCGTCCACGAGTGTATCGCCTTCAGGTATCGATCCGACATACATCGGCGGCACAGCCCGGTCCGGTCCAGGACCATATGATGCCGGGCGGGCGCTTGTCAACGGATCATCCAGGAACGGAGGACCGGTGCATCAGAACGAAGCAAAGCATATCCGTAAGACATACGAAAAGACCGCTTTGGAACTTACAGTTGTGCGGAGATTCCAGTCTCCCACTGGCGACAGCTTCTCTCGTCTAAATGCGATTCTCAAGGACGGGAAGCCTGATATTTATGGCCAAGAAACCCGAAACGGCCTTGGTAAGCCCATCAAGTCGGCGCCCGCTTTAGTCCTGTTACAGAAGGGTGCAAACAAAGCAGGTCAGAGCGGCGGCAGCAACGCAGGGAGCCCCGATTCGAGACAATTGTTAGGAAGAAGGCAGGCCGGCTCTCATGGCTCGGTTTCCCAGGCGGACATCCAAGACCCAGAGGATCCCTCGCACCCGTCCCACCGCCTCCTTTCGACCTCCGATGAAGCCGCACATGGTTCTCATGGGCCTGAGGAAGAGCATGCGGGGGAATCATACCTACCGAATGAATCTGATATGATGATCCGTCGCATGTGGGAGAGCCGCGAGGTTGCGACGTCTGGTTGATTTTACATTTTACTTTAGGTCATTTTTCTCTCTTTTTTTTTACCAGCAAACGGCGGCGTCGAAGCATGAAACGGGTTCAACAATCAGCATATGTTTTTGAGCCGACAATTTGTCTCGTCTTTGTGTTTTCTAATTGCAGTATGATATCCCAGATAGTAATTTATGCCATAATTTCCAAAAGTATATTTATATACTCCAGGTATACTCAATAATATAGTGAGATGTTGTAGTGTAGCAAAAGTTCGGGCTGTTAATCCCGAAGACACTACCCGACAGCGGCGGACCCCCGAGGTTAGCTGCGGTAATCGAGTGTCAAGTCGCTCAGGTGGCGGAGCGCCCGATGGGCGTCGGAATTGACGCGGGAATTCTTACTCTAATGTCAAGCTGTGGAAACCTGGACTCTGATTCTGGGCACGACGATTAATAATTCGTGCGCACGATTAGAGGGGCAGACAAGTTGTCGACGGAGTGCGGGGGCATTCCGGTGAGACGGGCCTCGTTAGATTCCGCCTGCCACGCCAGTTCAGGAAAAGAAATGCGGTATTTGTTGCCTAATGGAGGAAGAATACCCTGAGGGGTACTCCGAGATACAGAGGCGTTTACAGTGTGGTTTATGGATACATTGAGGATGGAATAATAGTGTTGCTCTGTGTTCCTGTGCCTGGGACGACTTGGTGACAATCTCTCTACTTGGCCGGCAGTGACTGTGACTGGGTGTGACCGCGTCGATTAGTGTGACTAAGGCGAAAATAGGAGGACTCCGATTCGCCCAGCGATATCAGGCCACTTCAACGGTTTCCTCACGGAGGCAGGGGAGCGAAGAGCAGCTGGTGAAGGAAGCAGTATAGAACAGCAGGTTGAGCAGTAGCAGTAGCATAGTAGGCCAGAGCATACCGAGCTGGCTCCCTGACAGATGGGCCGGGTGCAATTCGCGGCATCAGAGGAAGAGAAGGAACCTTCGAAAAGGCGGAGAAGCGGTCGAATCACGTTCGGCCCTCAGGGACCAGAATCGAGCAGATCTCCGACTTTCTCTGCCGCCCTTCCCTCCCTCTCTCTCTCTCTCCACTCTCTCTCTCTCTTTTTCTGACTCTGTATCTCTTGTTGCTCCTTGCTTCACCTGCCGCAGTTCTTCCATCTTCGATCTCTCCCATTGTTGTCGACTTTTTCTGTAAGTCCAGCTCTGATCCCGCGCCGCGCTCAGTGCCTCCGTTCGCTCTCCGAAAAGTCGCCCAGCGCTGAAGCAATCCGTTCGCTACGAAGTCGGACCACATGTTCCTTTTTCTCAATATTCGCAATCCAGTGTAACTAATTGCCGCTTCCCAATTCCAGGTCTCTAAACTACCGTCACAATGTCCGCCGATAAGGAACTCACCTTCAAGGAGGTCGCCGATCACAACACCAAGAAGGACCTGTACATGGTCGTTCACGATAAGGTCTACGACTGCAGTTCTTTTGTCGATGAGCACCCGTATGCCTCACCTTGCTGCACAATCAGCGCTGCGATGTCGGCTTTGGACATTGAACTAATAATATAACATAGTGGTGGTGAAGAAGTCCTCCTCGATGTAGGTGGCCAGGACGCCACGGAGGCCTTTGAGGACGTCGGACACAGTGACGAGGCTCGCGAAATCTTGGATGGTCTCCTCGTCGGTAAACTCAAGCGCATGGTACGCTCGCTCTTCGCCTCATACAATATCAAACCCCATACGAAAGTAGTGGTCTGACTATCCTTGCTTTTTTAGCCCGGCGACCCTGCCCCCAAGGCTGAAGCCCAGTCCTCCGGCGACTCCTCCTCCGGCGGCGGCAGCACCGGCCTCGGTGTCGGTCTTTATGCCATCCTCCTGATCGGTGGTGCCGCTGCCTTCTTCGCTTACCAGTACGTCCAGGCGTCTGCTGCTGAGACGCAGTAAGCTGGTGAGATAGAAGAGATGAGTCGGACCGATGGGAGATTCCAGAAGTAAAAGAAAAAAGATACTAAAAAAACATGCAACAAAGAAATGCTACGAAGACCTTTTGAGACCAGTTCTTACTATTATTATTTTTCGGTTGCCCTGTTTTTTTTCCCCTTCATCTATATTTAATGTTACCATTTTTCTTGATCGATTATTATTGTTTGACAGTTGGCTCCAGCATCAGGCGTGTGTGTTAGGTGATACCTTCTTATCTGTCCCATCATCAACCCGAGAGTTGCGAGATCTTTTTTTACCTTTTTTTTTTTTTTTTTTTTTTTTTTCTGCCTAGACCATTTGTCTTTTATCCTTACTCAGAAAGACACACCTGCTCAGACTGAAGGGAAGAGAAAGATGAAAAAGTAAAAAGCCGAGAGGGTTCTTTTCTTTAACATGTGACTCTTAACGTTTACCACATATTTCTTTCCAACAGTATGAATTCCCTCTTCCTCACCTCAAGTATGAACATACAACCCGCTTAGGCATCTCACCTCGTTTCCCCCTCATATTCCCAGCATTGCGCTGTCGGAGGATATCCACTTCTACTCCAGAAATGGGGCGGTGGGAGCAGAGTACTCCAAATCGCAGGTGAGAGGAAGTACTCGGAGCAAGCTAGAGCTCCCACATTGGAAGTCGAGAAGCTTCTCTGCACCAATGCTCCGTAGTAAATTGGGGGGGGTCGCCGGATTATCCCGACAGAGAATCGAATGGCAATTCGCACTGTCCCACTGGGGGGAATCTTGCGAGACACCTCCGCACGCACGTTGTCGTGGTTCAGAATTCAGGAATGCATGTGGGGGTGGGGTGGTGTGCGGAGAGATTTGTCCTTGGTCATGGTCGGTCCATGTGCTGACTTCTGAGCCTGTGAGGTGGCCTGCCCGGGGTGGCCCGAGGCAATCGATAATCATAATAATCATCATAATAACGAGTCGTGAGACACGACTCGGACTCGCAAGAATTACCCAGTGTAAAAACTACATGAAAATTTGCAGCTTGAATGCTATGAGAAAGTCGTAAGATGAGGAGAGGATTTGCATTATCTAACTATCCAATAATGTATGTAGAATGATCAAGATGGGGAGGCATAATCGCCAGTATGCTAGTAAATACGTACCCTAAAAAGGTAGTAGAAGTGAAACACATTCTTTTGGAGCAATACAAGTATAGAAAGGAAATCAATATATCTTCATATATGTTCAAGGTTTTTAACCTGAAGACTGAAGGTGAGATCACCTTGAGTTGCCGTTCGACCCAGCACGAACAGCCTCAAGGATCAAGTCTCTAGCCCTGTCCAGGTTTTCTTTGCCGCCCTTGATCTCTATCGCCTCGCCCTTGGCCTGGTCTTTTGGCACATTGATGCGGCAGCCCGTTTGTTTGCGGATAGCGTTGATCTGGCTGCCACCTTGGCCAACGACGAAGCGGTATGTCTTCGGGTCAGGAAGGATGAGGTATCCGGTCGCTGACTGCTGAGATGCAGCAGTAATAGCTTTCTCCAATGCGGCCTTGGCCTTGGTGACATTATCCCCAGATCCAGCCAGGACCCATGGAATCGTCGCAGGTTCGCTTGGGTCACTGGCAATGGGGCTATTGTCAACCACCTTCCATGAATGAGCTTCGAGGGCGTCGCTGGGTTCGTCGGTGATCAACGGGAGCGTGGAAGCCCCATTGACTGTGTCACGGGAGTCTTCTGGCGTAGGCTTGAGTGGTACTTGCTGGCCAGCATGATCCACGGTCACCTGGTAGTCGTTGCGAAGGCGACGGAAGAAGGACCCATTGTCGGAAACGACATGGTGTAGATGCCTTGGGACATCGACGCTCACACCCTGCTGATCCTTGAGCATGGCCAGAATGTGCTCCTTTGCTTCCTCAACGGCAGTGCTAGGCCCCTTGAGTTTAATGTCGGAGCGCCCAGAGCCCTGTCTGGGAATATCAAGAGTGATGTTGAACTTGGACTCAATGCCCCGGCGCGTGTCGCCCCCACGGCCAATGAGAAGACGATGTTGTACTGGGGGGATCTCAAGGTTGACGGCAACCTGGTCCTCACGCTCTTGGACAAACTGTTCGATGGCAGCAATAATCTTGTCTACAACATCTCCATTTCCTTCCAATCTAATTGTAGTGTCGTTGCTTTCAGCGCGGGGAAATCTGACGAGTCGCGACGCACTTGAGTCGGTAGGGCCACCGGCATCTGCAACAAGCTTGCGAATGTTCGCGCCTAAATTTTGTCAGCAAGGTGCAACCGAAGCGTGTAGATCTAAAACTTACCGCCACCGCCAATCAGGGACTTGTGGTGCTTCTTATCGACGTCAATAGACTTTGTTACCGTGGCATCGAACTCGTTTGAGCGTTGCTGCAGGATGTTCTTTGCTTCATCAACCTGCTTCTTCGTACCCTTGACCTTAATCTCCACGCGGCCAGATGCGTCGGGCGCATCGTTAGCTCCCGGCACGTCAATTTGGGCCCCAGTATCAGCCCGAAGCTTGTCCATTTCGCGGCCGCGCTGGCCGATCAATGAAGGAATCTGGCTCTGGGCGACAGATACCGTAGTCGAATGCGAATGGTCAACAACCCATTGCAGCAAGCTAAGAATCTCATCACGGGCAGAGTCTGCTCCCTTGCTAGGCCCCTTGACAATGACCTCATCAGAGCCCTGTTGGAACCGTTGAGGTCGAACGCTACCCGCATCGCTAGCTGTATCAGCGACGGACTGATCGTCGTTGACAACCAATACCCTGGGGAACTGGACGCGGACAGAGTATCGGTCTTGGAGTCGATTAACCTGGCTTCCCTTCTGCCCAATGAGCTCGCGGTGATACTGAGCGGGAACCTTCAGGACATGAGTTGTCTCATCCTCCAGTTTCTTTCCCATATTGATAATTCTAGCCTTGGCGGCGTCGGCCTTCGCCTTGGGTCCCTTGACCTCCACTTTGCCATTCTCCACCTTGATATCAACGTCAAATTCGTCACGGAGCTTGTTGATGTTCTCGCCTCTCTTGCCGATAAGGAAGTTTGCATACTTTTGAGGGAAGTCGAAGGATGTTGTGTATCCCCGCTCCAAGTCATCCCTCTCCTGCTCCACGACAAACTCTCCGAGTTTAGTTGCAAGTTCCTCCACCATACGAGATGGGCCGCGGAGCGATACCTCGCTCTGAGGTGTACCTCCACCATTACGGCTCGACCCACCCCCAAAAAGTGCACGAACAGGGATATGATCTTCACCCTTGGCCTGTTGCTCACGAGAGATGAACTTGCGCGCCTTCTCTTGGTATTTGCTCGGAATGGATACGGCCTTTGCCACGATATCATCCTGGCTACCCAAAGAGTTTAAGAGGTACTCTTGTGCTTCCTGGAGAGTCTTCTCGAAAGCGGCAAGTTCAGCAGCAGATGGCCGCTGGCGCGGAATTTCCAGCTGAGCCGAGCTCGCCGAAGGGCCTTCATAGATAAGGACAACATCAGGGCTGTCCACCTCCTCAGGTACGAGAACATGAACACCGTAATCGGAGCGCATTCGGGAGATCGTACGAGAGCGCAGATAAGGGTGGAAATACGGGTCGACAGTAACATGGCGGAGTCTAGCAGGGGGGTGGGCCTGGACCAGGTTCAGGATATCGGAACGAGCGCGAATCGTATTCTTGCCATCTCTCGAGTACACCTCCCAGGTAACAGGCCCGTCCGAAGCCGGGGACAAGGCGATACGGGAATCATACATGCCCTCAAGTTCCTTGATAATTTGTCGCTGGGTGAGGTAACGAGTGAGCGCACGCGCATGGACATGTGGGCCAATAGGAGCGCTTGGGTGTTGGCGAGAAAGGTCAATACTAGCCATCTGCATACTGGTTGCAAGGTCCATTGCCCGGTTAATACCATCTTCAATCCGCTGCAGAGGGCCAGTCACAGTCAGAAACTCGGTTTCATCAGACGAGGGAGGCAACACAATAGCACATCCAGTTTCAGCGAGGAAGTCATGCAGCGCGTTACCATTATCGCCCAAAATGAATTGGTGCTGACCCCGGTTAATTGCGAGTTGTCGGAGTGTGAGTTGGCGTTGCAGGTCAGCAGCTAATTTTTCAATCTCGGCGCGTGCCTCCTGCGTTGCCGCGCGCTCTCCAGATACAAGAATATGTCTGTCGGAAACTGGCACGAACTGAACGAGGCCTGGCTCAGCTTCTTGGGGTGGAGGTTGGCTTTGCCACATATCATATCGAGGAACGTGAATCTGAGCCTTGGTGCGCTCTTCAATGTCTCTCACATTTGCATTGTGAGCACCAGCGATGAAGGGAAAGAATTCCGGAGGGATTGACCTAAGACGCAGGTTCATGTTCGATGCTCGATCCTTCACGATAGACTCAATTTCCCGGCGAGCCATCTCTGCTGCGACGGCGTCACCTTCGATCAAGACGTCAATGGTGTCATTGTCCTCATCCCCATCGCCAGAGGGATCCTCTGCACGAGGGACCTGCACGCGTGCACCAGTCCGCTGCTGGATTTCCAGCACAACAGCTCCTTGGCGACCGATAATGTGAGGGCGAGCCGAAGTAGGGATTGGGACCCGGACCGATTGCTAAACCCAGCTTAGTTGGAAATGATCGGGACATTGCCCAAAAAAGGAGACTTACCTTCGAACCAACTTGCTGCGCCACCTGCTTGAGCGCTTGGCGCACTGCATCCACTGAGCCCCTACCCTCAAAAATGATAGATCCTCCAGGGCCTCCACGCATATCAACATTGGCCTTTGACCGTTTAGAGATATCGCGCAGGATATCCCGAAGCGGCTTCTTCAGTTGACCTCGCTGGAGCATCTGAGAGGGAGCAAGTCGAAGCTGCTCCATGTGCTTTCCAGGTAGGGTCATGATTCGAGGGAGACCTGCTGATTGGAAATCAGTATCATTGGTTTTGACCCGAATAAATACTACTGCAATTTTGACGAGTGGGTGAAGCTTGGGGTAGCCTTACCGGGCGACGCACCGCTAGGCGCACCATTCGCAAGCGCAGCTGCAGCGGAGGGGCCCTTCGCGCCCCAGGCCGATGTAGCAGGGGCCTTTGGCTTGGGACCGCTACCAAGAGCAGGGAATAGCTCTTCTGATTGCACATCCAACGTAGGGGCCTTTCCAGAAGCACGCTTCGGGTTCGTTGGCGCATGGGCTGCGGGTGAAGTAGGTGCCTGCGATGGTGCGCCGGGGGTAGGTTCGGTAACAAGCGGAGCGGCCGAGGGGGGAGGGTGCGCAATATCTTCTTCGTCAACAACATCCTCCACGGTGGTTTTGTGCGCCTCGTCGAGTGCATGTTGTTCTTCTAGCATAGCGGCCCGAGACTTCGGACCACCATTGACAATTGCTTCGGAGGACATAGTGGTAGAATGGCCTTGAGTTGTTCGGGAATGTTCGAAATTTTTATATTTAAGTGGGCGGAGAACGTCAACGTTACTTGACACACTGCTCACTTGAGGAGGAAGATGGTTAGAGCGGGGGTTCTCGCTGGGAATCGGGGAGAGGAAGTACCGGAGGCGTAAACGTGTAGTCGGAACGGCCGCTTTATAAACAAAAAAATAAAAAAAGATAGGGTGTCCACTGAATTGAGAAAGCCCAGGGATGTCCAAGGTATCAATGCGAAATATCCCACAGCAGGATCCAACGGAGATGATGGAAAGATGAACTGCTAATTGCACCGGCTAAAAGAAAAACAGGCACTGCATAAAAGGGCACGCAGGCAGGGAAATAAAAGGAGATGGGAGGGCGAGGCGGGTGTGGTAGCAGGGGGAGGGAGAGAGAAGGTGGGGGAGAGAAAGGTGAAGGGAGAGGAAAGGTGAGGGTGAGAAGAGGGTGTCAATGGGGAATTGACAGCTGGAGGGTGATGGTGATGGAGAGGAGGAGCAGGTGCCAGGCGAGGACAGGACAGAAAGCCTGACTGGGGGAGGAATCGTCTCGCGGCCATTGGAGGGCCCCGGAGCCGAGACGCACGGTGTGAATGGAGCCTCATGGGCTTCCTCTCTTTTTCTCGCATTCTCAACCAACGGGGCGGAATTCACCAGCAGAGCCCCAGTGGTTTTGGCGTTTCTATTCAGAAACTCAATGCGGTTGTTAATTGTGTCCACCATCGATGCTGGTCTGTCCCATCGCTCTCTTCGCTAGAGAACTTCGAGGGTGGATCTACCGCCGCGCGACAACGGCGACAACGGCGACAACGGTTTTGGGAGAATCAATATCTTTCGATTCACCATCGAATGGCATTCAGGTAATTGTGACTGGGCGTCGTAACCAATCTGTTAGAGATCGGAGGACTCTGCATCTCAAGCATTGGATGGGCTCTACTCAACCATCGGAGTGGGCTTGGTCCCGGGGCTTTTGTGCCGATCGATCACCATGTGGAAAAGTCTAAGTAACTTTGCTAAACTATAGTTTTAAAATTAACCTAGAGGCTCTTATCCCTCGAGGCTTATGGTCTTTCTTGCTTTAGGCTCTCGATCGCGCGCGGTTATTTGTTTTCTGGCCCCGCTCGACTTTGTCTCAGTCGTGATGTTGAGTACTGGGCTGCAATCCAGTTATTGCAGGGCTTCTGGCTGGGCCAATGAAGTCGGTGTATGTCTCAAGCTCTCTACGATCTCAGGTCATGTTTCTATATGCACTCCGGTCCTGTATTGGTTGGCACTGGTCTCTGTTTGTAGTCCCACCGCTGAGTCCATAGTATATAGCGACTTGAGATGACGCGGTGCTGCTGCAGCTCCTGCTCCTGTTTACCTTCCAGTGCTATGGGTTTTGTATGTATTGTAGGTAGCCCGCAACGGTGAATTTTTTTCTTGCTCGAGCCGAAATTCGCCCATGTTACACCTTATGGTATCTCGGCTATTTGTGAAGTTATCTATCTCAATGAATCGGTCTCTCTGTGCAGTTTATCAGTCAGCCTTTTGGGATTTTTTCCTGGGTGTCTGCTTGGGGTATACTCTAGTGCTGCCTGTTGCTGTATTTGGTCACATATGTTGAATTGGGGTGTTACTCGGTTTTGTTTTGGCGATGCAACTCCTTGGATCGAACTCAGTGATGGTGCTGTGGTATATATTTACACAACAATAACATTGCGTCCGCACACCCTTATTATAGAAGAAATGTTTAATCGTAACAAAACATATAAGACACGCATACCAGCGGGACAACGTAGGAAAGACAATTATGTCAATTTCGGACCCCATAACATTAATAAAAATACACATCCGCGCTTGTTGGAACATCCCTAGCTCTCAGCTTCGTAATGGATTACTTTAATGGGTAGAAGTAGTGGAACTGGTTCATTTGATTTAATGTTCCTCGGCTTTTCAACAACCAGCCCGGTTAGCTCAATCGGTAGAGCGTGAGACTTTTACGTTCTAATAGCATACGATTATCTCAAGGCTGCGAGTTCGAGCCTCGCATCGGGCGTTTCTTTTTTTACTTTTTCTTTTTTTTTAACCCCTTCCCCAATCTCCGGCGGGCCCACCGAAAAACTGGCCTGTAATTCTAAACATAGCGAACCCAAACAGGGGGAAAAGTACGATCGGATGGGATGATTGTCTCGTTGGTTCCAAATTTCCCTTGCACTGGAACCCGACTGAGATAGCAGTATCTGATGAGCCCATTCCGGCAAAGTCCCGAGGCATTTATTCTTGTTATTATTCTTTTTATTATTTTTTTTTGTTCCTCCTTCTTTTACCCATGCCCAGCCAGAAACTTGTTCGAACCTTTGTAATCATGTCGGTGTACACTCTGGCCTACGTCGAATCCATCACTGACAGTCCGGTCATCTACCTAGTGTGTTTCAGCAGCAGTAACCAGGGCTCCCAAGAACTGCGCGCTTGCATGAAGTTCGGATTGAGCGGTGGAATTGGCACGCCATAAATAAAAGGGAGCAATCTGGAATTGATTAAACACAACACAAGGAAACCGGAAAACTAGCAGAACTATGGTAGCCGAGATCTAATATACCACCAGCTGGAGTTTTTGTGTCCGCCAGCACAGCTCTTCTCTGGGGTCGCGAAAGCTTTGATATCACCACTTCATGATTCATGAAGGAATCCAGAGGGCTGTCTTCGAACAATACGGTGGAGAAGATGTGTCAAATCTGACATCTCAACTCCTGGACAAGGCTCTGGACAGTGCCGTAGTGTTACAGAAAGATTATAAATTGAAGAGACATTTCACTCAGCTCTGTTCAAGGTTACCTGGGCCCTGAAATGGCGGAACTGCAGGCCGTCGGGTGGTTCTGCTAGGGTAGGCCAAGTTTACCCTTTTGGTCCGACTGGTGGCAGCTTCTTCAACCGCGAGAACAAGAGCCGTTCCTGCAGAATCACACAGGACGCTCGCCATCATTAATATAAGCACTATTGCCCATTGGAACACGTCATTGCTTGCTCCGTCACATCGATTTTGGAGCAATAGACGGCTAATCGGAACAATGGACAATGCAGTGTAGACAAATAATGAAGCCTCGCGGGACTTTTGCTCGGTACACCCCAACATGAGGTGGCAGCAACTGGAACTGAGTTGGCTTTCCACCCTCACTGTGTTATCAACGGATTCAATGCGCTGTGTGTGCACAGCAGCTGGGACTATGAGGGCGGAAGAATGGAGGCTTCGGCGCCTGTGGACGTTGGGCATGGAGTGTCCCACCTTCCTAAACTAGGGCGGCTAGTAAAGCTCAACCGAAGAACGGGCTGAGGTTGGAGATGAAACTTGATGCCAATGTTTTGTCAAGGATGTTCAGATATTAAGGGTTAATTTTTCTTCCCCCCCCTCCTCCTCGCTGGAATCCCAAAGACCCTCGGAGATCTCGCGAGCAGAGAAACTCGAAACCGCGTATCAACCAATGCAAAGGACAATCTTTGGTTCTCGATGTGTCCAGAACCCATCTCCTGGCCCGACAAGGATGGGAGAGTGAGACGCGACCAATGACGTATTGCAAGCAAAAGTACGGCATTATTTAACAGATTTTCGAGGCAGCCTGCCCAGTGCTTATTGCTTGTGGTTGTTAATTCCAGAAAGTGATTTGTTCTATAATACAGCGCAGTAATAATAAAAACAAAGCAGCACAAGGTGCATCCATGGAACCAAGGGAAACATAGAACAATCAAAAGGCTCAGTGTTTCTGACAAGTGGCTCGCCCCATCCTCATCCTCCATTATTTGCTCCCGCCCGCTGTCCGCTGCTCGCTTGTCCGCTGCCCGGTCCAGCCTCCTGTAGACTAAATCATCAGGTCTCCCCTTTCGACCTTCCTCCTCACCCTCCATTCCTATTCCTTGTCTTCTCTCTTCCGCATTGTGTTGCTTTTTCTGCTCTGCAGATCCGTGTGGTGAGCTGTCGGCTGTCTGCAGGCTCCTGCATGCTGGTAATTCGATTTCTTTTAATTTCTTGTGTTCGACCTTGAGCCTGTGACGAGTCCGATCGACTTCCTCGTCCCCTCAGTTGCTGAGGAGGCTTTTTGCTCACTCTGAGCCGTCAGTGGTTCTCCACGTGCTAACCGCCGGCTTTTGTTCGTGACGGTCGCCCGCGGCAGCTCCTTTTCTAACATCCATCCATAACTATCTACTGTACTGTACTAATCGCCCTCCCTTGCGTCGCAAATTCGGCTCTTCCTGCATTCGCCCCCCCCCATTCCCTCCCAGTTGTCCAGTGTCCACCAACCTTCCACCTGTCGGAGCTGTCCACCTCACCGTCCAGTATCACCCCAGATCGCCCACCTCACCCACCACATCTCGTCCAAACGGCTTGAAGGGACCGCCAGAGCGCACCGCCTCACTCGGTGGCTTTCCCTTTCCCTCCAATCAAGCTGCTGAGTCCAGTCTCGTCCCCAGTCGGTCGACCTGTCCTTCCCCTCCAAAGCCCCTAAAATCGAGCGCCATGAATCACGACACTTTCTCATCCTTCAAATTTCGCCGTCCATCGAGCAAACTCCATAAGGACCCCCCTAGCTATGGTTCACGACCCCCCAGCACACAACAGAACCCGACATCTCTGAAACGACACCCCTCTGCGCCAGTGTACCCGCGATCCTCTGCTGCTGGGAGCCGCGAACATCTGCGCACCAGGTCCAACGCATACGGATCCTCATCGTCATCACTCGATCAGAATAGCGCGGGCGCGTCTCCGGTCCTCGGGAACAACGAATCCCCCCAACTACACAGCAGCCAAAGTTCTTCTCGATCGCGTCCTCCCTACTCCGGGCGGCTTTCCTTAAACGACCAAAGCTCAGATGAATTAATTGGCGCCCCGTTCGACTCACGGGGTATGTTAAGCGCCCTGGAAGAAAACACCGCAGAGTCCGACAGGAGCTACCAACCACCAAATCCCACTGAAAGATTCGAAAAACCCCCAAATTTCCGATCGCAGACTGCCCCCAACGCACGAGCTTTGAGACAGTCGGCAAGTTTTACCACTCTGCATCCCCGAATGGAGGGCCTTCCGAACTCAGGTAGCAATGACCGTTCAGCTAATACGAAGCGTTTCTCCGATGAGACCAACCCGGTCAGGCCCGCTGGGCCTAACAGGAGTAAGAAGAGTAGCTTCTCCAGCTTTGTCAACAGCATGCTAGGCTCGCCTCGTGGCATTAAAATTTCGGCGCCAGAAAACCCCGTCCACGTCACCCATGTTGGTTATGATAATCAGACGGGTCAATTTACGGGCTTACCGAAAGAATGGCAGCGGTTGTTACAGGAAAGTGGTATCACACAGAAGGAGCAAGAAGAACACCCGCAGACGATGGTTGACATAATGAGATTCTATGAGAAAAATGCCCGGGGAGATGATGAGGTTTGGCACAAATTTGATCACGCTTACCCTCAACATCAAACATCCGCTAGTCCTGTATCCCAGCAGGCAGGCTCCGCCGCATATGGCGCGCAACGGACATCCCCTCCTACTAGCCCTCGATTTCCTCAAAACCACGAGGGCAGTTTTGAAAACCCACGGGCACCACCCCCGATTCCCCGCGCCTCTCCTGCTATGACCCAGGCTATGTCCCCACCATTAGGAACCCTTGTACCTAATCGAGCACCCCCCAAACCGCCAACAGCTGCCAGCATGGTTCCGAATCGCCCTGCGCCACAACCTCCTACTACGAACCCCTACGCCTCAAACAGGGCGGCCCCAGAAACCCATAGCCCGCAATTTAGTACGCCTCCCATCCCGGAAACTGAACCCTTGGCTTCAGAGCCCCAAAGGAGCCGTTCAAATTCCAAGACAAACGGGTCGCAGGGACAATGGTCTGTTACTCCCACTCAATACCAACAGCAGCAGGAGCAAGCAATGGCTGCAGCCCAGCAGGCTCTTGCTCACAAACAACTCGAACGAAGCCGCAGCCAACGCCAGCAGCAACAGTCTCCACGATTAGACCAGAAACCGGTCGCTCAACCGGCGCCTCAGCACCAGGCACCAGCCGAAGATATCGCTCTAGCGCAAGCCTCCCAGAATGCGCGTGCTCCACCGGCAGCTCGGCCTCGGCAACGGGCTCGCCAGAGCAACGCCATGGATGTCAGAGGGCGGTTGGTTGCGATTTGCACACCTGGAGACCCGACGAAGCTCTACTACAACTTGAAGAAAATTGGTCAGGGCGCGTCTGGTGGCGTGTTCACAGCTTATGCAAACGACTCGAATGAATGTGTTGCCATTAAGCAAATGAACCTGGATTTGCAGCCGAAGAAAGATCTGATCATCAACGAAATCCTGGTGATGAAGGATAGCAAACACAAGAATATCGTCAATTTCTTGGATTCCTATCTTCATGGGCTAGATCTGTGGGTGGTCATGGAATACATGGAGGGAGGTAGTCTTACCGATGTTGTTACTTTCAACATAATGAGCGAGGGTCAAATTGCTGCCGTTTGCAGAGAGGTAAGTTTCCGAAACACTTCGTTCTTTGTGTATTATAGAGCTAATTCGTACCCTTCAGACGCTCAATGGCCTGCAGCATCTCCACTCAAAGGGCGTAATCCATCGCGACATCAAATCGGACAATATTCTCCTTGCAATGGATGGTAACATCAAGCTGAGTAAGTTGTTCCCTCTCGCTGCGAAATTTTATCGCCCCTCGGATGGAAATTAACGATTTGCAGCCGATTTTGGTTTCTGCGCTCAAATCAACGACTCTCAGAACAAGCGAAATACTATGGTTGGTACACCGTATTGGATGGCTCCTGAGGTTGTGACGCGAAAGGAATACGGTCGTAAAGTCGACATCTGGAGTCTTGGAATTATGGCCATCGAGATGATTGAAGGAGAGCCCCCTTATCTCACCGAATCACCTTTGCGGGCTTTGTACTTGATTGCTACAAATGGAACGCCGAAGATCAAGGACGAACATAATTTGTCGCCTGTTTTCAAAGACTTTCTTCATTTTGCTCTTCGGGTGGACCCTGAAAAGCGAGCTTCCGCTCATGATCTATTGAAGGTATTTGTCTCCATCTCCTTCCACCAGTGCGCGGCTAATTCCTTGCAGCATCCGTTTATGAGTCTTTGCTCTCCTCTCAACCACCTTTCACCCCTCGTTAAGGCTGCACGTATAAGCAGAGCCCAGGAGAAAGCCCAGAAGGGTGGCGTTTAAACTTTTAGCCTCTTGGCGTCTTTATATGTCGATGTCTACTATATTTCCTCAGATACCCATTATCCCTGATGTTTCTCTTTCGCCAGACGATATACCTGGCATGGCCTTATGACACCCTATTACTATCTCGAACTTTCTCTATTCTCTTACGGGCCCTTCGGTTGTTTCCAAGCTAAAATGTGATAGACGGCGATGACTTGATGTTCAGCATGGGATTGCAAGCCTTTTTGTCTCTTTGATATTATGTTTAGTTTATTCCTGGCTTTGCTTGATGGCGCTTTTGCATACCCATATTGTTGACTTTTACGATCATTTGTCTGGAACATATGTACGCGAGACGACGCACACTTTCTCTCCCGCCCTGGTTGCAGTGGTTTGGGCTTGGGCCTGCATTGTATCATGGCATGCAGCAAGTTCATGACGTGAGAATGCGAGGCAACTGGGCCAAGCGTCTGATTCCGGGCATGGAAAGCCTCCATTGAATGGATTTTAGCTGCTCTGCTTGCCCAGTTGGTATTGACCTCGCAAGCTGTACTTGATTTCGTCATGTTCAAGATTCCTGATGATGTTTGCGGTATTCATTGACCGTTTTATGACGAGCGAAATAAAAGCGTATGGGGCTTTTCGTTATTTAGTTTTTTTTTTTTTTTTTTTTTTCTCCCCTTTATGTGTCCTCTAACATATACTACCACTAGAAGAGGCTGTATAGCTAGATACATAGTACTATAATGAACATCCGTCATACTTTTCAAGTTGTGACGACGCTTGATCCACAAGAGAGTGAATGTATAGACAGCGTGCCCCATAGTGTGCCCGAGTGTGGGCCAAGTAAAAAGCGGTGCCTTGAGGCTGCGCCCTGTGGCTGACTTAGGTAAGCGGCTGCCCGCCCGCAAACCAGCATCATCGTCACCAACGAACAGGTTCCAACCATTCTTCAGCTAGCCTTGGGAAGCGTTTCTGTCGACTCTTCTTGGAGATCATTTATTTGCTACTCGGAGTGATTTTGGATCAAGGTCCGCTCCTATACATTCCCCAGACACGACAAACACCGTCGAGCCGACTTTTCTTGAGCTCCTGATATCCCCGCATCGAGTGTTCTCCGGATCTTTGGAACTCCAGCTTGCAGCCCGCGGAAACCATCCTATCAAGCGTCACAGTGTCCCTATACCTATCGACAAGCTTTGCTACAGTTTCCACGAATACGAGAGCCATTTAGATATATTGCTCCTTCCTGTTTGTTCCACCGGATTTACACCTCGACCAGGTAGTTGGGAAGTTGGGTACTAGCTATGTTCCGCGCACAGCAGAACGCTTTTGACGACGCAGTCGGTATGATATCCCTTTTTATTTCCTTCTTTTCGTAATATATTTTTCGGGCGTCATAATTATGTGTGCTGTATCTGACTGCTGTTTTCCGCAATAGCCAAGGCGACGGATGAGAACTTGACCTCCGAGAACTGGGAATACATTCTTGTATGACGGTCCCTTCAAGCCTTCCAATACACGATTCCCGAACAAGAAGAGAATATGTCGTCTAACATTGCGTTTTTCGTTGACAGGATGTATGCGATAAAGTTGGGGCTGAGGAGTCTGGGTATGTTACTCGCTTTTGTGACCGCTACTGATGATTTTGACATTCGCTGATTCGGATTGTTGGATATAGTGCGAAAGATGCAGTCGCAGCTTTAATCAAGAGACTTGCGCATCGAAATGCCAATGTGCAATTATACACTTTGGAGGTTCGTGAATCGATGCTTATGAGATCATCGCGCGTGTACTGACAATATTTAGCTGGCCAATGCGTTAGCGCAGAATTGCGGTCCTAAAATACATCGTGAATTGGCATCGAGAAGCTTCACAGATGCTCTTCTGCGTCTTGCCGGTGACAGGGTGAGTGTGGTAAATATTTATCCTACTTGGACTAAAAGTACTGACTGTGCCCGAATTAGAATACCCACCAGCAGGTAAAATCCAAGATTCTAGAGCGTATGGAGGATTGGACAGAGATGTTCGCTAGTAACCCAGACTTTGGGATTATGGAACAAGCGTACATGAAATTGAAGACTCAAAGTAGGTGGTGCACCGTGCCTTTGAAATATTATCAGCAACTTACAGGTTTATTTGCAGATCCTAACCTCCAACCCCCTTCGAAGCCCGGGAAGCGAGAAATCACCGATGTGGATCGCCAGAAAGAGGAAGAGGAGTTACAAATGGCGCTTGCCCTTTCTATAAGAGAGAAACCCACCACGGCCCCTCAACCACAGGCCGAGAGCAGCAGCTCAGCTGCAGCACCGCAAAACCAGACACAAGCGGCACCTGCCGGACCAGTGCTTTCGGGTACTTCTGTTGCTACGGTCTCTAGGGTCAGGGCGCTATACGACTTCCAGCCGTCCGAGCCTGGAGAGCTACAGTTCCGGAAGGGGGATGTTATTGCTGTCCTCGAGTCTGTGTATAAGGATTGGTGGAAGGGTTCCTTGAGAGGTCAAACTGGAATCTTCCCTCTCAACTACGTTGAGAAGCTTCCAGATCCAACTGTCGAAGAGCTTCAGCGCGAAGCTCAAATGGAGGGAGATGTGTTTGGGCAGATCAAGAATGTTGAGAAGCTCTTGACTCTTCTTAGCACGCGTAACTCGGAACTCAATGTCCAAGACAACGAGGAAATAACGAATTTGTATAATTCGACTCTATCCATTCGCCCGAAGCTGATTGAGCTCATTGGGAAATATTCACAAAAAAAGGGTATGATGTTCTCTATATTTCACCAATGTTCCATTAACTCACCGCTATGTAGATGAATTTACCCAGCTCAACGAGAAGTTCATCAAAGCGCGAAGAGACTACGAATATCTCCTGGAAGCATCCATGACCCAACCCGCGCAACCCCAGTATGGCCGCCCCGGCCAACCTCAGTATGGATACCCTGGCCCTGGAGCCCCTGCAGGCTTCCCACAAGGGCCACCACCGCAGAATGATCCACAGAGATACTTTAGCCCTCGCCCATCAGGTTTGTACCACCATCATCTGATTGGGTGTTCGTCTCCCTAACCTTCGCATAGACAACCAGCCTAATAGTTCCTACTACGCCCCAACCACGCAGTCGCCGGGACCGGGGCCTGGGCAGACTCCTCCCGTAGGAGCATATCAACAACAACAGCAACAGCAGCAGCAGCAGCAGCAGCAGCAGCAGCAGCAATCTCCAGCTGAATCTTTTCAACCTGTTCATCACCGCCCCGAATCGACATATGATCATCCACAAGAGCTAGGAACATCAGTCTACGACTCCCCTGTTGAACGGTTACAGTACCCTCCCGGACCTCCTGGGGCCCAACCACAGTTTTCACAACAACCACCGCAGCAAACACCCCAACCTCAGTTCTCATCTGCGGTCTATCCACCAGATAACGCACACAATCCACCCAGTGGCCCGGATCCCGCGAGTCAATCTCAGCCTCCTTACCCTGCGTCTCCAGTTACCCAACCCCCACCACCAATGCAGCAACCTCCTCCCATCCCCGGAGCTGCACCGGGATCTGCGCCTTATCCTTCGATGAGCCCTGCACCGGGCGCTTACCAGGCGTACAAGCCCCCACAAGGCAGCGTACCTCACCATAACCCGGCATCATTCTACCAGTAGCGCCTTCGACATATTCCCCATTATTCGCTGTACGCTAAGCGTCGACCTTGTCTCTACCTCGTCGTATTTTGTGGTTCGTACCCTCGGAGTTTTTCGCGACGGAGGTTTGATGTTTTTGGCCGCAAACCATGGCGCATACCTATACTCTACTTGTATTTATTTTGTCGTTTTAAGCCGCCTTCATAGGTTATGCAAAGTTATAATGGTTTATTTTGTCCTTGGAGCTACTTTCAAGCGACAATCCCTAACTAGTAGTATATAACATCCTCAGCTAGTGAAGTGTTGAGCCATGAGCTGTGTGATAGCCAGAAACGCTGCGGATCGGCCCACATAGCAGCACCGCACGTGATACATTCTTGGCGCTTGATCCTCAGCAGCTGCCCTGTTGATACTTGGGGAATAACGGCGACAGCCAGCGGTTTTCTCCTTCTTGGGAATTCTAATTTCGTTACGAAGGAAATGTTCGCTCGATATCGATAACGGCTCCAATTATACCCATTCCGCGCACTCGCCGAGCCTACGAGGCTTCAATCCAGCTTCTCCCCCGCACTCCGCCCAACGATGCCTGCTTTTGTCCGATTTCCAGGTGGGCAGAGCCAGGCCATTCTATAAATAGTCGCATTGAGGGCATGATAACGTATTGAAGTAAAGACTTGTCTGGGGCCCATTCCCGGATATACCAATGCAATGGAGGCGGATTGGAACGAGTTGCTACGTATCCCGGTTCCCCCTCCGAACCCGCACGCGCTGCCAACCATCGCGACAACGATTGCCTTTGACGATGTCTCCGAACTCTTGTGGGCGGGGAACGAATATGTTTGTTATATCTAACGCTAGCTAGGAGATAATATGCTAATTTATCTTTTTTTTTTTCTTAGGGCCGAGTCACCTCCTTCTACGGACCTGAACTACAGAGGTACACATCCGTTCGTGCCCACCCTGTCACCGAAGGCCCAGTACGACAAATATTATTCCATGAGAGAGGAGTTATATCACTTTCCTCGAAGAGTGTGCATATGATTACACGGCGTGGCCTAACGCAATGGCACGTCACTCACGATGAAATTAAGGAACTCCGTTGTATGAGCTTTACGGCTCAAACGAACAGAATCATAGTTGCGGGATGTCAGAAGGCAATGTTTACAATTGATATCGATAAGGGAACGATTGTCGATAAACTACGAACAGAACATCATTATGTGATAATGAAGAAAAGCCGCTACCTTTGCGCCGCGACAGATACAGGATCTGTTAATGCGCTGAGTTTGTCCGATTTCAGCGTTGTGAAGTCCTGGAAGGCTCATGGAGCGGCGGTAAATGACATGGATGCCAGGAATGATCTTTTGGTCACTTGTGGTTTCTCAGTGCGACACCTTGGGTCTCCGATCGTTGATCCGCTGGCGAACGTGTATGATCTGAAGACCCTATCGCCGTTACCACCTATCCCTTTCCATGCTGGGGCTGCATATGTCCGTATGCACCCAAAGCTACAGACGACAAGTTTTGTTGCGTCTCAAACTGGCCAGCTTCAAGTTGTGGACCTGATGAACCCAAACGCCTTTAAGCTTCGCCAAGCCACCGTATCCTTTATGCTGGGCATTGAAATCTCCCCATCCGGAGAGGCACTTGCCATAAATGACGCAGAATGCTCGATTCAGCTTTGGGGGTCTCCGGCAAAAATTCACTTTAATGAAATGAGTAAGGAAGTTGAATTCGCTGACGTCACTCCACGGCCACCTCCCCTTGACTGGTCGCCAGAGACTCCCTTGAATATGATCGGTATGCCATACTACCATGAACGCCTTCTCTCTGCGTGGCCAAGCCATCTCCTGTTTGAGGTGGGGAGCCCACCAGCTCTTATAGACCAGTCCCTCATCCCCTATCTTCGCTCTGGGGAGATAGGACAATACGCAGCAAATCCCAAGAAGACCCGAAGATACCAGGTCGAAAACACTCGTGCTTTGGCCTCCTCTGAACCTGCACTAATTGCACCGAAATTCTTGAGTGAAAAGGCAAGAGACCAAAGCAAGGCAAAACTAGATGATGCCGTTGGCGACACTGCCGGTGCTCTTTCTGGCGCGAAGATTAGCGGAGAATCGGAGGATGACCCTCTGCTGAAGTACAGCAATGTTGAAATCAAATACAGTAGATTCGGAGTTGATGATTTCGACTTCAGGTAAGCTCCTAGGATTTATTGAATCGAACCCATTTCTAACAAACTGTCGATAGGTTCTATAATCAGACTAATTTCTCAGGGTTAGAGACCCATATCGCAAACTCATTCACCAACTCCCTCCTTCAACTCCTCAAGTTTATTCCGTTAATACGAAATGTTGCTCTTCACCACGCCGCGACTTCTTGCATAGCTGAAAGCTGTCTGCTATGCGAAATGGGGTATCTTTTCGATATGTTAGAGAAAGCCAATGGTCAGAATTGCCAGGCGACGAATCTACTCAAAACCTTCAGCAGCTTCCGTGAAGCTTCGAGCTTAGGGCTGTTGGAAGAAAACCTCACAAACAAATCCCTCTCGGTTGCCATACAGGCTGTCAACCGATTCTTCCTTGGCCAGATTGCGCAGGACTTCCATAAAATCCTGCCGACCTCAGAAGATCTCGATATAAGGCTGTCAACGATTGCACTAGAATCTATTCGGTGCATGTTTTGCCAGAACGAAATCGTGAGACCGGGGAATACTCTTGTCAACGAGCTTATTTATCCCACGGTTGATATGAAACAGGCTCGTCGAAATCCAGCGTTTCGATTCTCGAATATTTTGAGAGCAAGTATTGAACGGGAGGCACAGAACCGGGGATGGTGCAACTATTGCCGGAGATATCAACAAGTGGCTATGCGGAAAACAGTACATCGCATGCCTCTTGTGCTGATGATTAACGCAGCCGTGAATAACCCTATTTGTCGACGTCTTTGGACGATTCCTGGATGGTTGCCAGAAGAGATTGGTATTGTTGTCGAGGGCGGCCAGATCCTCTGTTTTGAAGGGGAGGATTTGAGGTTCCGTATGCAAGGAAACATGCCTGGTCTAATTGTATACGATTTGGTCGGGCTGGTTGCGGAAATTGATATTCCAGAACACCAAAAGGCTCACTTGGTCTCGTTTGTCAATGTTTCCGTTTCGTCTCGTGAACAAGAGATGAGGAGTAGATGGCATCTTTTCAACGATTTCTTAGTCACAGAGGTGGACAAAGATGAAGCTTTACGCTTCAACCAACCGTGGAAATCGCCATGTGTACTTGCATTCCAAGTAAGAGATGCACGACATGCAGTGGATGACACATGGAAGGACTACCTGGACACGACGCTACTTTTCCGTGACTGGTCTCTGAAGTAAGTCAACATTGGCGAAATCTAAGCAATACTTCCTTGATACTGACTCTGATGCAGCAATGGGCCTCCTGTCGAATCGCGTGTCATGCTTTCTGAGGAGGAAAAGCCGACACCTGGCACACCGGTTGCTCTCGACACAGAATTCGTCGACCTCGAAAAGGCGGAAATTAACGTTAAAGCCGATGGCTCACAAGAGATCGTGAGGCCCAGCAAAAGTGGCCTTGCCAGGGTGTCTGTTCTTCGAGGTTCAGGGGTGCAAGAAGGTGCTCCTTTCATTGATGATTACATATCTGTCAAAGAACCCATCGTCGACTACGTGACACAATATTCGGGCATCAAACCTGGTGATTTGGACCCACGTACCACTTCACATAACATTGTACCACTTAAAGTTGCATACAAGAAGTTGTGGCTGCTTCTCAATCTCGGTTGTGTGTTTGTTGGCCATGGCCTGGCGTCGGACTTTCGGAAAGTGAACATTCAAGTTCCTAAGAAACAGACGGTCGACACGCAATACTTGTTCTTCCACCCCGGGAAAAACAGACGACTAAGTCTTCGATATCTAGCATGGGCTGTGTTCAAAGAATACATCCAAGAAGAACCAGCGGACAACAACCAGGGCCATGACTCAATTGAGGATGCGCGTATGGCCCTCCGACTATGGAAGAAATTCCAAGAGTACGAGGATGCAGGTATTGTGAACCAAATCCTGGAAGAGATCTTCCGTGAGGGATCCAAGCTGGGATTCAGACCCCCGGCTCGCAACGGCGTGGCCACAGTGCTCTCTCGGCCTGGAACCGCAGTAACGATGCAGAATAATAACAGTGGTCGAAATACACCCAGCGCACCTGATGTCGGTGCCGCTCCCGCAAGTGCACCAGCTACCCCCCGGCAGGCGTTCCGACGATCCATTGCCTTGACGCCGAGCAATGGCACGTTCTCTGGCCCTGGATCGGGGGAGTTCTTTGGTGGTAGTCCGCTGAAGTAATCCTTCTACGTTTCCATGAATTGTACGGATGCGTTCCTGATACAATCTAAGTTTTTCGAATCAACTGGCCTGTCTGATTTGGTTGTATGGCAGGACTTTGTGGCAGTTTTGTCAATAGAGTAAATTGGGGTATCATTAAACATGCATAATTGAACTTTTTACTTTATCTGTTTCAGTAGACTCGATCGAGTGAGGGGCTCTGTTGTCTTCGTAGCGTAAAGCCGGGAACTTCGAACTCTAGGCTTTTTAGGGCACAAATAGCCTAAAGCAGTTCATCCGCATCCGTAAATATAGAAGACAATGGAAACAATATAATCTTATATAAATCATTAAATAGTCTAATTATCGTACCTAGGATGCACCAACCCCGTTGTTGAGGTTCCATCCTCATCAACCCGCACCGTAATATCTGTCTTCACCGTAACCCCCTTCCCACGACCTTCTTCGCACCCCCTATCATCATCACTCCTCCCCATCTTCGGATGAGGCGTACTAGCTCTAGGCCTCACAGCCCCAATCGTAGTTGTTGTACTGGCTGTCGTGCCGCGCCGTGCCAGTCCTGTACTAGGTCTACCGTCACCGTGGACATGGCTATAGTCAAGCGCATATTCTGCTATACCCTTGTCCCCTAGGATGGACATAGGAATAGACCCCTGTGTTTGGGATTGGGTATTGGAACTCCCTTGACTGTGAGGGTCTTTGTCGATTCCGCCACCGCTGCCGTCGCCACGACCGTCGGATGGGTATTGACGCCTGCGGCTGTTAGAGAAATAGCCGTATTTTCCTGTAGAATGGTTCTTCTTATTGTTGTTGAAGATGACGCGCACAAACAGGCGGACTATGGGGCCACAGGTTGCGAGGAGGATGCAGTAGTTTTCAATTCTGGTGGAACGGCGAGGGGCGTTATTAGTTATGTTGGGTGGTGGATTGGGGACTAGAGGGGTAAACTTACTTTACCCATAAGACGAAACTCATTATGTTGTCTAGATAAGTGGTATTCTGTTAGTGGTGAAGCATAGAGAGCGGATGATAAACAAGAAACTTACGTGTAAAATCATTCCGCTCTCCGAGCGATTTTAGCAACTGTGTAGAGAGTATCATATCATATCAGTTCCGTTCCAAGTACTGAGCATGGAAATTCTCCTTCAATGTCTATTCAGGTGTCTCATACATAAGTCTTCACAATAGAGGCACACCCCGACAAGGCTAACGGCCCACTAAGGATAGTAGTTTGCCATATCCGCCGTTTCCGAGCCTGCCGGGGCATGCGCTTAAACCGGGCAAGGAATGAGTTCGAGCCTTCCGGACTGTGGTCGACGGCGCGAATGCTGAACTGCCATAGCTGCATGGCGGAGAGGATGGTTAAGAAGAAATCGACGGTGGCGTTGAAGCCTGGTTTGGTTGGAGTGTTGCGAGGGTTAGTGTGTTTGTTTAAAGTATGGCTTAAGTTGCTTTTGTGCTAATAAGAGGCAGTCGTTAGGTTACTTACCTCCTTGCACAAACCCGACTGTCGTTTGGACATTTGGCGACTGACAGACGACTGAGCCATCGGTTGGGACGCCGTCCCACATGTAGTGGAAGTATGCCCCTCGGTTTGTCTAGCGAGTCAGATATGGATGTGGCATACTGGCAGAGGGTTGGGAATATACCACGTAGTATGGATTTGGCCCACATTGAAGCACAATCTGCAAGACGGTCACCGAGTTTGCGACTACCTGGATGGCCATTCCAACGATGATCGCGATCCGGATCTGCCTGTCCAGGCTGCTGAAACAAGTATAGAGAAACCAGGTCATCCCGCAGCGCGAAAACATGGATGCGGTAACAGCTGAGACGGCGAATTAGTGTAATCATGAGGTACTGTTTTGGGGCGAGCAAGGAAGTATTTACCTAAAGGCTGAGAGAGGAAATCATATTTCATGGCTCCAATCCGTTGCTCGTCGGTCAGGAACCAAATGTGTCGACCCAAGCCATAATTAAGACTATTGACGTTAGAACGAGGGGGAAAAATGGCACTAGATGAAAGAAAATACACCTTATTTGAATGAGGGTCATATGGGCTATATCAAAGCCATATCCGATCACAAATAACAAATCCTCGGCACCCCATATTCTTGTCGGTGAGCTGACAGTGGGAAGAACCCGGCCGGCCCATGCTTTCACGGTGTATCTGAAGATCAAGGCAGCTGAGACAAGGCCTGTAAGTGCCTATAGATAGACAATTGGATTAGGAGCAGTCGAAGGCAATGGCTGATCGCAGATTTACTTACCCAGCATGCATAGACAAATGGTTCCCCTATGGAGTATAGATTCACTTGTTAGTTGCAAGTGTAGAGACAAAGATAATCGACTGTTACCGTAAGCTGGATCCTCTTCTTCTCGAGAGGACATCATCCAGAGCAGTGACAGGCGGGCTGACAGCTGTCTGACATTCGAATGCCAGCCGAAGCGTGGAGGAACGTGGAGGAATGCCCGCTATAAGCACGAGCTGAGGGCTTTAAAGACTGCAGAAGAAAATAGCCCACTACGCAAGGGACGGCAGCAGCAATTGTTGACAGTGGCCTCTAGAGTTCACTGTGAATGCATTTGGATTGCGTTGGAATGCTCCAAAACGTCGAACAGGCGGTCCTCCATTCCCTTGCATGACGAGAGACTCAACGAGGGTTAACCCAATCCAGATTCCAGACAACCCTTCATGGTTCCAATTGCCATCAAGTTGTCCGAACTGGAGTGTCTCAACCAGAGACAGACTTGGGATTGTATGTTGAGACGAGGTCACAAATCCAGCTTGACGTTTACACTGGCTAGCTCGACTCGATGGCCAGACGCGATCTTGCAAGGGCGAAGATAAAGAGATCGGCAGTCTGCATCATGCACTCGTGGAGAGCAAAGAGAATAAACGCGTGAACTCGCTCGACAATGCAGTTGGCTTAGACGAGCCATTACTGAGTGGTTTGATTACAGATCGTGGGCAGGGCTGGATGGCGATTTGGCGTCGGTGGAGACAGATGGGAGATGATCATCCTGATCTAGCAGACGATAAAGATAAAAAAATAACCCAAAGACAATATACGGGATGAAACTTGGAATCATGGCACTCTGGAGGGTGGATGGTGAGTTGATGAGTTGACATGAGTTTAACCGGAAAAGTCACTCTCAACTCTCTTGATTCCTTCCTCCAGATCGATCCGCCATCTCCACCAGAGCTAATCTCAGATCAATGAAACAAATCGATCTCTTGGCTTATATATTCTACTTCCTCCGAAATTCCACGAGCCCCTCTCCCAGCTCGGGATACGCCTCGAACGTCACCTCGAGCCCCGTCAGTGCCGCCATCCGACGCCATTCCGTCCCCGTTCGCTCGCGGCCTCCATACAACACCGACATGCTGGCATGCATCTTCGCGTAATTAACATTTTTGGAGAACTCGTGCACGAGCAGGCGCGAGTACGGCGCCATTGCTGCTGAAATCTTCTGCATCAACTCGATTGCGTCCAAATCCGGCATGTTGTGCAGGATGTGCGCCAGGTGATAAACAAGTGCTCCTTGCAGGGGCTGCGGGCTGCTCCCCTCTTTAAAATTCCAAGTGACCATCGTGATTCCCGGGATATCGCCGCCGAGATCGTTGTTGAACTCCTCCACCACGAGATCTGCCGCCTGGAACTGCGGGAATGCCTCCTTGATGTCCAGAAGCATCTCGCCGCGCCCGCCACCGATGTCCACCATCATTGTTGACGTCGAGGGCCCGGCCTCCCCGACCACTGCCGCGAGGTCGTACCCCAGTGCCTGCAGTCGGTCGGGTGTTTTTCGGGGCTTGAAAAACTTACCGACCATAAAGGTGTTAAAGCTATCCATGCGACCCTCTGCTGCCATGATGGAGTAGGTGTGCTGTTTTGTATATTCCTCCTTGCCCATCATCTGGTACGCATATTGCATCGGCGTTTCACATTCCTTGAACGGGTAGGCAAAGTTCTCTGCCTTGAGCTTCGACATGAGAAACGCCCCTGCCAGGAGTGCCTCCGTTGTGCTATGGGAGTCAGCTACTTCCGATATCTGAGTCTTATTCCGAGATATGGTCTCACAAGTGAATCGCCCCGTGGACAGCAGATGGGGACTCTGCTAGATGGTGAGTGAGAGCATTGGCTTTATATAGATCCTCTCCAACGAGATCTACAAGGCCTAGACCACTCATTGCGAAGAGAGCGTCCTCTGTCTTCGAGTTAGTAGTGCGACCGCAAAAGAAAGAAACCCCCCTTTGGAAACTTACGAACTAGAACCACGGCTGCTCGGGTTCGTTCGCACACGGTCAGTGGTTTCAAGTCTCATCCCGACGGGTAGAGCATACCTTACAAGGAACCGGGTCTGTGGCATCTCCATTGCCAAGGGTGCTCTTGTACGCAGCCAGAACATCTTCGCCTGCGGCGGGTTTATTGATACTGGCCAGGATTTCGAATATATGAAACTGGGCAGCAACGGGGACAAATCCAAGGGCGGCGGGCTATAGGCACTTAGAGAGCATTCGCACCCAGCAGCAGTTGGACACACCGAAGTAAGAGTCTTGGCTAGAAGAGCCCCGGTAGCTGGCGTGACTGCGGACATAGTGAATAGAACCCCAATTCGGGCGAAATTCGAGCCGGTGCAGGGGGGAGATATTGAGTTTCCACACCGGAAAGCCTCGTTCAAATAAGTATTCCCTGCGAGTGCTCGGCCATCCCTTGATTTCCTGCTAGTCGAAAAAGTTAGTTCAGGTGCGTAAATTACGGGGCGCTTCATGCACTGGCTCATTACACTGGCTTATAACGAATAGTTTTAATCCCCTGTCGAAGCTGAACTCGCAAAATCATGCTGCGTGGGAGATCTGCAACCCGCCACGTTCTTCGCGTGGGATCAGGACTCAGTGCGAGACTCAGACTGAGTATGACAGCTGTGGCTTAAAAATAAACTTGAGCTTGTCCGTCATCCGCATTATGTGCGATATCTTTACTTTTTCCTTTTTGCAATACTTCCAGATTATTAGCCCCGACAGCATTTGAATATCTATAGTACGGGTGACACTCAATGGGTGGATCAATGTTGGAAAAGGGTCTCGAAATGCAAGGCACTTGCATGCTTCCTCCTAGTAGCAGGGGCGAGAATGAGGAACATAGAAGTCCTCGCAGCTGGAGCCCATGGAAAAAGCGACTGTTGTTCTTTGCGCTCATGTCCAGCTCTATTCTTGCTGATGGGTACACTATTTACTCTATCCCATACATTGGTTCTTTCGTTAACAAATACAGAGGAATGACCTGGGGATCGACCCTAATTGTCGATCAGGCGACGGAATGGGGCATCAGCGTCGACAAGTCGGCTACCAGCATGAACTATGGGATGCTGTTGCAAGGAATTGGTGGCTTGATAGCGATCCCTTTGATAGAGGCATTTGGACGGTGTGCATACTTGTTCTTGTCAATGTGCACTGCTAACCTTATGAAGCCTTCCAATTTGGCTGTGGCCGCAGTTTATCACCACATTCATGGTTTTGGGCGCCACTTTCTCCAACAGTTACGGTACATTCACCGTGTTTCGATCCCTTCAAGGGCTCTTCGGAACCGTTCCTCAAGTAGTTGGTCTTCCAATTATTCACGACATGTATCATCCTAAAGGTGAGCTTCGTGTTTCCCCAGGTATTGTAGACAACCACTGACGTCTCTAGATTGGCCGCAAATGATCAACATCTGGTAGGCATACGCTCTTCTAAGTATATAATAAACCCCCAGTCTAATAACACTATTAGGGGAACAACTTTCCTAATCGGCCCTTTCCTTGGACCCTGCATTGCTGGATACATTGGAGCTGGAAGCAACTGGTCAGTCTCATTCGGCATCCTAACCCTATTTTACGGACTGTCTACTGTCCTGATATTTGCATTCGGACGCGAAACATACTTCGTTAAGGGGCGAGACTGCCAGCGCAATAGCCGTTTGGCGGCCATCTTCGGCATCAAGTCGCATAACCTCCCAGTGCTGCCAACAATCGGCTATTCGATTAAAACACTGGTTATATACATCTTCAAGTTTCCCTTGTTGCTGACTGGTATCTCCACCATGGTCAACTTCTGCTGGCCCATCGGTACGAGTCTTTGACTTGACGCACCTTCAAAAACGCACCTTCCTCTCTAACAAGACCAGGGATCACCGTGACCGTCTCTACATTTGTCGCACAACCCCCTTACTTATTCGATACCTTCAATTCGGCCTCTTTGCGCTGGGCGCCCATAATTGGAGGTCTACTCGGTACGCATATGCAACCCCTCTCCTCACGCAACTATTAAACCTTACTCGTGAACAGGGTACGCCCTCGGCTACTGGTTCAACGATTGGATTTACCGCACGCGTCAGCACAAATGGCTTCCAGAGAACCGGCTACACGGCGTTTGGCCTGCAATCGGCACTATGGCCTGCGGCCTCTTAACATACGGTCTTACCCTAAACTACCAAAAAAAATGGATCGGGCTTGCGTTTGGCTGGTTGATGGTTGTAGCGGGAATGATTGCTAGTACTGTGTGCGTCCCCACCACTCCTCCAGTTTAGCTCTTGTTACTGAGCGAATCTGATTGAATCCATAGGTCAATAACCGCCTATGCACTAGAAAAATACCCGGAAAAATCGACCGTCGTGTCGGCGATTATCAACGGATGGCGCACAGCGAGTGGGTTCTCAGTTGGTTACTTCCAGCCCTCGTGGATTGCCAGGAACGGCGTTGCTGTTGTCTTTGGGACGCAGGCGGCTGTTGTTGTGGCCGTGTTGGTTTTGACCATTACGCCGGTCGTTTTGGTTGAGAGGAGGAAGAGTCGGAGAGCTGCTGCTGGTACTGGTGACTCTCCTGATGTAGACCCCAGCAAGTGAATAACTAAGTAACTATTGTATATGTTTGGTAGGTAGGTAGGGCTAGCACATTCCCTTTTAAAAAATTGTTTATATTTGCATGCGTCTGAGTTTACCGTGACATCAAACAATACAGCATACTAGAGACGAATAGAAGATACCCCACATAAATTTACCGATTTGACTCATGGACATACATCACCTCTCTGCGGATGGTGCCCTGTTATATTGTAAGATGAGGCTGATCTGTAATAAGAGCGAGCCGAGTGGGGAATGACGTGGTGACTGAATTCAGCTCCCGAGTCACCACCGCAACAAATCTCCCAGGAACAAAAACCTGACATAGAACCCCCCCACGCTTTGCTGGGTATTTGTTTACCTGGAATCTCATATTTTTCTTTGGCATTCTTTTCCTGCTTGTTTTCTTCCCCTCGAACGCCGCCGAGTGCCCAAGGCGACGAGAACCCCTCCCTCCTACCCCGCCGCTCCGTGAGACAAGCACCACCATGTCACGACACCGCGTCAAGGCCGTGGGCTACGACGACGACGACCTGGATTACGAAGATGAATACGACTCCGAGGACCCCGAAGAGCGCGAGTACCTCGAACAATGTACTCGCGAGGTACTGAGTCAGTTGGCTGGCGGCGACCCGTCTGTGACCGCAACCCGCGACGAGGTCCAGGAAGCGCTGTGGCATTATTACAACGATGTTGAGAAATCGGTGAATTATTTAAAGGGTAGGTTATCAGCTTCCAATACGAGGGATGAATCACGGCGGAGGTGGGTGCTAATGCCTTGCTTGTAGGCAAGAAGACGAAAGAGGCGGAGAAGAGTAAGGCTGCGCCGGCCAAGGCAAAAGGAGGCACAGGTAAGCGAAATACCTATATGTTCTGTCTTTTTGTATCCTTGTGTGGTTGGGCTCGGGTCACCAGACTTGCGTCGACTTTTGTTTCGGTAAAGGTACTGCGTGGGGTGTCAGATGAATGAAGGAAGTGCTAGGAGGTATGTAAGGCATCTTTCTGCGATTTCTCGAGCGCCTAAACTGACTTTGTTTGAAGCTTGAATATGTTCTAACAGGATGCTTTTAGTGCCAGTGTATCCTCTACCTCTTACTACTACGACCTCGTCGCATCGCGCTCATTTCTCAGCCGCGGAATTCTTTCGTGACTCTCCCTGGCTTAATGTACCTGCGCACCGGAAGGCCGATATCCTCGTTGAACCGCTTTACCCTCGACTTGGTCTCCTCGGTGGAGCGCCAGAGAACGGTGGAGGAAAGATGTCTAAACTAGCAGCTTTAGCTGCTGCACGAAAGAAGAAAGAGGGAGACAAGTCGCCGACACCTTCTTCTGGCGGAAGAAGTGACACTGCGCAGCCATCCGCTGGCGAAGGAGCTCCGTTATCGCTCCGAGAGAGACTCGCACGTAATGACAGAAAGACCAAATCCTCAGAGAGTTCCCCATCGCTGCAAAGCTTGAGCAAAGAATCTCGTTTCGGACAGTCTATATCTCCAAAGAAGTCGCCATCTGAGCCAAAGACACCAGATCTCCCAGCTAAAACTGAACTGGGGGGCTCTGTGGAGGACGTCCAGATTAAAGGGGAAAACAAGGAGCCACCTACTTCCAACGTTCGCGCGCCACCTTCAACATTTGCAGTCACTATTGTTGGGGATGACACACGTCCGATGATGACCGAGCCCAGCCACCTATACACGAATACTCTAGATTTGATCAAAATCTATGGACAAGACCTCGCTGAACCGTTTGACTTTGCAGGACCAAGCCCAGACGATGTAGTTTTGAACGCCCAGAGTTCAGCTAAAGGTTTGGCTATTCGGCGAAAGATATGAGATATCACCTAATCGTCATGCAGGCTTCAAGTCGAAACAACCTGCTGCAAAGCCACAAGGTGACAAGAAAGGCTCGGCAGGTCTGGCAGGTGACATGAGCAACCTCACCGTCACTGAAAAATTCAACGTGAAGAGCAAGAATCTGGATGTGCTCTCCGAGTACAGGAAGTCTAAACGGAAAAATGCCATGAATTTTGTGGTTATCGGTTAGTACTTTTCTACACGACTCGTTAAGCTTGACATTAACAAGCTCTAGGGCATGTGGATGCTGGGAAAAGTACGCTCATGGGGCGCCTACTTGCGGATTTGAAAGCTGTTGACCAGCGTACACTGGAAAAATATAGAAGAGAGGCTGAGAAGCTAGGCAAAGGGTCTTTTGCTCTTGCGTGGGTCTTAGACCAGGGTACTGAGGAGAGAGCGCGAGGTGTGACTATTGACATTGCGACAAGCAAGTTTGAAACAGATAAGACTATTTTCACGATTGTTGATTCGCCTGGCCATCGAGACTTTGTTCCCAACATGATCGCGGGTGCAAGTCAGGCCGATTTTGCTGTACTCGTTATCGACTCCAGTATCGGGAACTATGAGTCGGGATTGAAGGGCCAAACCAAGGAGCATGCTCTACTCGTGAGAAGTATGGGCGTGCAGAGGATCATTGTCGCTGTTAACAAAATGGATACTGTTCAATGGGATAAGGGTCGCTTTGAGGAGATTGAGCAGCAGGTTTCGGCTTTCTTGACCACCGCTGGGTTCCAAGCCAAGAATATTTCCTTTGTACCATGCTCTGGTGTCAGTGGGGATAACATTACTCGGCGAAGCGAGGATAAAAATGTGTCTTGGTACAGTGGTAATACACTGGTGGAAGAACTCGAGGCTACAGAGCCGTACTCCCACGCTCTCGACAAGCCACTACGAATGACGATTGGCGATGTGTTTCGTGGGAGCATACAGAACCCTCTATCAATATCCGGCCGAATCGATGCTGGGAGCCTACAAGGAGGTGACCAAATTGTCACCATGCCAAGTGGAGAGACAGCAGTGATTCGAAGTCTAGAAGTCGACGGAGAGCCTAGTGACTGGGCCGTCGCTGGTCAAAACGTTGTCTTGAACCTTGCGAATATCGACCCCGTTCATCTTCGCTCTGGCGACGTTGTCTGCCACGCCTCCGCCCCGATTCCTAACATTACTTCGTTTACCTGCAAGGTACTTGCTTTTGATCATTTACTGCCAAGCATGGTTGATATTCATCGTGGGCGCTTGCACGTTCCTGGGCGGATCAGCCGGCTAGTTGCAACATTGGACAAAGGCTCCGGAAATGTTCTCAAGAAAAAGCCAAAGATTGTCTCCCCTGGGTCTGTAGCTCGGGTTGTTGTAGAGCTGGACCAGGCGGTACCTTTGGAATCCCCGACTAGAGTGGTTCTGAGAGCTGGAGGTGACACCGTGGCCGCTGGATTGCTGGAGTGAATATCAAGTACATAGACACGCGACATAAAATTCTATATCTACACTTATGAATCATTCTTCAATGACTCAAACATCATAGACACGATTTGTATAATGCAATCTGGCCTTTCCATACTTCCTCTCGGTAGGCGGCTGTGAATTGTGAATTATAATAGGAAACAGAGCTGTCGTTGTGCAACATGTCCTGAATAAAGGCAAACAAAGCCGCAGCCACCACAAATTCAACAGCGCTAAACCGCATATAGACAACCCCTGCAGGAACTTATTCACGGCGCTAACCCCCATTGGGCGTTGATTTTCTGCGAACTTCGATCGACTTCTTGACCGCCCGGAGTGGATTCAGCAGAATGGGGGCGGTCGGGGGCGGGCTGAGTCATTCACGACCCTGGGTGGCGCTCCTAGCCAATCAGCGCGTGAGAAGTAAACTTGTATGCGAAAAGGCCAGATGGCCGCTGTCCTTTCCTCGCCGCTCGCTCTCCATACAAGAAGGTTGCCGGAGCTTCTTCCACCTCCTCTCTTCTTTCTTCCATCCACCTTTCCCCTTCTCTTTGTTCGACACTCGCCCCCCTCCCCGTGTCACTGTGGTTGGGTTTGCTTTTAACACCACTTCTTCCCCTCTCTGTGCTTCTCTTTTTCTTCCAGAGCTTGGGTCCCGATTTATCTTTTTCGCGCGACTTCTGTAGGAGTCTTGATCCCCCTACCCTACCCTAATTGAACAAACCTACATACACATTCGCCATGTCGCGTCACTCCGGTCGCGGCGCGGCCAAGCCATTCGCTGCTTGGACCACCATCTTCTACCTCCTTCTCGTCTTCATTGCACCTCTCGCGTTTTTCGGAACTGCCCACGCCCAGGAGGATGAAGTTCAGGAAAACTATGGAAAAGTCATTGGTATCGATTTGGGAACAACTTACTCGTATGTATACACCTGGATGGGTCGCATCATTGAAGGCGAGAAGCTAAACTGGTTATAGTTGCGTTGGTGTGATGAAAGGCGGAAAAGTCGAAATCATGGTCAACGACCAAGGAAACCGTATCACTCCCTCCTACGTCGCATTTACCGATGAGGAACGTCTTGTCGGTGACGGAGCAAAGAACCAATACGCCTCTAACCCTAAGCGGACTATCTTTGACATCAAGTGAGTTGCCCAGTCTTTTTCTTGACAAGACTTTGTTTCTAACAATCCATAGGCGATTGATTGGTCGCAAGTACGATGAGTCTGATGTCCAGCGTGATATCAAGAACTTCCCCTTCAAGGTTGTCAACAAGGATGGAAAGCCCAATGTCAGAGTGGACGTCAACCAGTCCCCCAAGACCCTGACCCCCGAGGAAGTGTCCGCAATGGTTCTCGGTAAGATGAAGGAGGTCGCCGAGAGCTACCTGGAAGAGAAGGTCACCCACGCCGTTGTTACTGTCCCCGCCTACTTCAACGACGCCCAGAGACAGGCTACTAAGGATGCCGGTACTATCGCTGGCCTCAACATTCTCCGTGTTGTCAACGAACCTACCGCCGCAGCTATCGCTTATGGACTAGACAAGGATGAGGGAGAGCGCCAGGTTATCGTTTACGATCTTGGTGGCGGTACCTTCGATGTTTCCCTCTTGTCGATTGATAACGGAGTCTTTGAAGTTTTGGCTACTGCTGGTGACACCCACCTTGGTGGTGAGGACTTTGACCACCGTGTCATGGACTACTTCGTCAAGCAATACAACAAGAAGAACAACGTCGATGTTAGCAAGGATCTGAAGGCCATGGGTAAGCTGAAGCGCGAGGTTGAGAAGGCCAAGCGCACTTTGTCTTCCCAGAAGTCGACTCGTATCGAAATTGAGGCGTTCCACAAGGGCGAAGATTTCTCCGAGACCCTTACCCGCGCCAAGTTCGAAGAGCTGAACATGGATCTGTTCAAGAAGACCATGAAGCCTGTCGAGCAGGTGCTCAAGGATGCCAAGGTGTCCAAGGCTGAAGTCGATGACATTGTTCTTGTTGGTGGTTCCACTCGTATCCCCAAGGTCCAGGCCATTCTGGAAGAATTCTTCGGCAAACAAGCCAGCAAGAACGTTAACCCTGATGAGGCTGTCGCTTACGGTGCTGCCGTTCAGGGTGGTGTCCTGAGCAACGAGGAGGGTACTCAGGGTGTCGTTCTTATGGACGTCAACCCTCTTACTTTGGGTATCGAGACCACCGGTGGTGTGATGACCAAGCTCATCCCCCGTAACACCGTCATCCCTACTCGCAAGTCGCAGATCTTCTCTACCGCGGCTGACAACCAGCCTACTGTCCTTATTCAAGTTTGTAAGTTTTTCAGTCACTCTTGTTTAAGTATTTAAACATACTAATATCCTTTACAGTCGAAGGAGAGCGTTCTCTCACCAAGCACAACAATGTTCTTGGCAAGTTTGAGCTTACTGATATCCCCCCCGCCCCACGTGGCGTCCCTCAGATTGAGGTCGCCTTTGACCTGGATGCCAACGGCATTCTGAAGGTCAGTGCCAGTGACAAGGGCACTGGAAAGGCGGAGAGTATCACAATCAAGAATGACAAGGGCCGTCTGACCCCAGAGGATATTGAGCGCATGGTCGCCGAAGCAGAGGAGTTTGCCGAGGAGGACCGTGCCATCAAGACTAAGATCGAGGCCCGGAATGGCCTTGAGAACTATGCCTTCAGCCTTAAGAACCAGGTCAGCAACGAAGAAGGCCTCGGTGGCCAGATCGATGAGGATGACAAGCAGACCATTTTGGACGCCGTCAAGGAAGTTCATGACTGGCTCGACGAGAACGGTGCCTCGGCCACCACTGAGGACTTCGAGGAGCAGAAGGAGCAGTTGTCCAACGTGGCCTACCCAATTACCAGCAAGCTGTATGGCTCCGCTCCTCCCACAGAGGAGGACGATGACGACTATGGCCATGATGAATTGTAAAATAACTTAGGGTTTTCTGGAGTTTGCATTTTCAACATTTTCAAATTTTTTCTCTTCAGTCAAGACCAAGAAAGCAGCCTATTCCCTTATTATAAGATAGGACTAGTAGCATGATACCTAAATACCTAAATACAATATGTATTAAATTCATTATATCCATTCCTGGCAGTGCAAGTTGTATACAATACTTTAGCTTCTAACCTAATTTCCCACGCCAATAAACCCCCTCACAACCTCAGCAATGACCTGATGATCATCCTCCTGCTTCAACCCACTTACAACGATAACACCCACAACACCATCCACACCCTTTACCCTAACGGGAAACGCGCCACCATGAATCGCATACTCATCCGCCGTCTGCCCACCACTCGAGCTCACAAGCGCATATTTCCCCACAAACGCCTCCTCAACGCCATCCACACTACCTCCCCGCCCAGCAATCATCTTCTGTCTCATCAGCCAGCTCGACACGCCCCAGCGCAGCACGGTGTTCCGCTTCCGCCGTACCCAGTTGTCATTGTCCGCCACGGTGCCTGGTTCTGTTGCGCACTGGAAGACGACGTGAGGCTCGAGCCCACCCGCCAGCGTTATGGAGATTAGGGCTGGTTTGCGCTGCGCGGAGGGGAGAGATAGGATGCGGTCGCGGAGCGCTAGTCCGAGTGTCCAGGCTGTTGTAGAGGTGAAGGAGGTGAAGAGCATAGAGGGGCTGGATTCGAGGCCGGCGAGTTCACTGGGCTATATTTGTACGTTATTTGTTAGTTAATTGACCGGTGCCGTAGCAGTAGGTTAGATGGGGGTCGGCTCACATCAGTGCTTGCCGGCTGGAGAGGGATGTCGTTCATTTTGGCGGTTATTTTGGTATGTTCTGGGATTCTGGACGTCCTGGGAGAGCTAGAGATGGATGTTATGAGACAAGAGGAGGATCTTTTAAGGAATTGAGAGGTTGTGTGGCCGTTGAACTAGAGTCTTGGTGCTGGAGAACTTGATTCGGGACTCGGTGGAGCAGATCCAGAGTGACGTCGTTCATTTGGCCTTGGGAAGGTCCAGCCGTTATACGTACTAGGTATATAGTATGCGCTCGGAACAATATTCCATGTTACTATGGCTACTCAGGAACTTCCAGTACAATCCTCCCCGCAACATCCCCCTTCTCCATCTCCTCATATACAGCCGGCAACTCTCTGAACGGCCGGATTTCGATCTCAGGCTTCACCAGCCCCCGCCGAGTCAAGTCCACCGCCTCCATACATTCCTTCATCGAGCCCACTGTGTTCCCACAGATCTTCAGGCCCTTGATGATTATGTTGCAGATCGGCGTCTCGAGCTTGGCTACTCCAGGCGGGACCCCCGCGCAACTCAGTGTACCCCCAACACGCAGCATGTCGGCTGCACGGGCAAAGGCGCTCGCACTCCCGGCTGTGACGACCACAGAATGTGCGCCTGAGCCAGTAATTTCGTGAACGCGCTGAACGGGGTCTGTATTGACGAAGTCGACGAACTCTGTGGCACCGACGTCGAGAACCAAGTCGCGTTTATTGGGTGCATCGACCCCAATTACTTGGGCCCCGAGGACTTTGGCGTATTGGACTGTTATTATCGTTCTTAATTAGGGTTATCATCTCTCATACTGTTGAAAGCTGGAAAAGGAAAGTATACCTGCTAAATGTCCCAGGCCTCCGCCTGCGCCAACGACGACAAGCCAGCTTCCGGCTCTAATGTTTGTTCCTAGTACAGCCTGTGAGGGTATCAGCATATATGCATACCATTGGCGGCATACCGTGCTTGGTTGGCTTCCCACCTTATATGCAGTGATCCCAGCACACAGTACGGGGCCTATAAGCTTAGGATCAACATCATCCGGAAGGATGGTCAAGTAATCTGCATCAAGAGCGATATACTGCTGGAAACTCCCATCCTCATGAAGAAGATGGGTCGTGCTTTTCACACAATATTGTTCAGTTCCAGCAAGGCAGAACTCGCATCGTCTGCATACTCGACTGTTGAAACGGATCCCGACAAGGCTTCCGAGTTTCAAGTCTGATCCACAACCTGGTCCTAGAGCCACAATACGCCCTACGCCTTCATGGCCGCCAATGTGTGGAAATCTCAACTTGGTAATAGGGACTCCATCGAGCCCGGAAGCTGTGCCTTCCTTCACAAAGAGGTCTATATCATCGATTAGACTTCTACCCATTCTAGAGGGGTCTGCAGAGGACCCTACCACTATGGCATACCCCAGTGTAGAGGACTTTAGCCAACACCTCGTTATTTCCGGGAGTAGGAACAGGATAGTCCTCGGGGAACTCGACAGGGCCGCCGATTTCACGAACTAGAGCAACGGTTTGGACTTTGGGAATTTCGGCCATGATGGGTCAGGATTGTTCTGGACAATGTTCTAACATTCCGGGAGAAAGCAATAGAAGGCAGAGCGTATTATTAGGTAGAAACAGAGCTATCCATGATGCTTGCTCTGTCCGCCCCCACCTCTCTCAGCCCATGTGATCTTGTACCTCTTGGAGAGGAACGCGTCGGGTATCCGATATTCTTTCTGCTGCTCTCCGCCCCATCGTCGCCTCTCGTTTTCCCTTCGTCCAGCCTCAGCGCAATCGCCGGAGAAGCTTATCCGGAAGCCTGGGATTTATGTTAAACGTGAGCCATGCATTACTAGCCACTTTGCAACAGCAGTTGCGAGGCAAAGACATGACCCCCCTCACTTGGGCGACCGGGGTTTAATTCCGACCTTCACCCATGCTGTCCAGCTTGCCCCAGAACACTGTTGTGTTTCAGAAAACCCATCTTGAATCATCTTGCGAGGTTCGATTCAACAAGTCACGATGATCTCAAGCTAATTCTCGGTGGGTTGACTGGCAGTCCGATCATCCCAGTAATTTGGACTCTATGTCCTCGCTTCGCCAGTTACAAGCATCGTTTCACGGGTAGCAGGAGAGAGTTATACGAAAGAGCTGCGAACCCTGCGATTGAATCTGCCCAGCTCCGTCAGCTGAGAAACGCCTGTGATTGATGGAAATGCCACCGGGACAAGACTAAGTCCGGACTCGGGTCCTCCGCACTTCCACAGACTAACTGGTGGTCTCGCCGATCTCCCCAGTCTCCGATGAAATTATGGAGTCTTGGGAGAACATTGAGAGCTTCCAAATTGAGTAAAATAGCGGCACCTCCGTGTTTCCCTGAGCCTCCACAGGGGGTTTCGACTATGAGGACCCAGACAAGAACGCCATGGAGCTCGTACGATGCCGAAAGCCTCACGTCTGCTTTCGTCATCCAATGCCCGGTTGCTAAAATCGACTTTGACTTAACTCCGGTGGGATGAAGCTGTTCATTTGAGCTCATGGGAGATTTGCGGGCTGGCTATATAAAGGGAAGACCAATCGTCAAATACCTAGGGGTTGGCTAGGCCGGAGCCTTCAATTAGGTCGTTATCTGGAGAGAATTACACTCTTGTGTAACAATGCAGCTCCGACGTTTCCTTCCATTCGTCGCTGCGATAACGGCAGTTGCTGCACATCGAGGACCAAACCGACCAGAACCCTTCTCCGAAGTCGTCATCTTCGACCCCCCACGCAACTACACCATCCCACGCACTCTCTATGCACGAAACGAGCAATTGCCTAATGGGGATATTCTAGCAACGTGGGAGAACTACTCACCGGAACCTCCTGCGGTATACTTCCCAATCTACCGTTCCTCCGACCACGGCAAGACCTGGAAAGAGATCTCCCGAGTCCACGACACAGCCAATGGGCTGGGTCTTCGCTATCAGCCATTCCTGTACTCTCTGCCAGAGCGCGTGGGCCGCTTCCGTCCCGGAACCCTGCTGTTGGCTGGGAGTAGTATCCCAACTGATCTGAGCTCAACACAGATCGACCTCTATGCATCGCAAGACGAGGGTCACACATGGAAATTCTTAAGCCACATCGCTGCAGGTGGGAAAGCTGTCCCGGACAATGGATTGACACCTGTTTGGGAGCCCTTTTTGCTTGCCCAGTAAGTATATCCCTCCTTTACTCCCGCTTGACGTTCAACTCTAATCGTTACGTTACGTCCGTGTTTGTAGCGAAGGCAAATTAATTGCTTATTATGCCGACCAGAGAGATAATGCAACCCATGGTCAGAAATTGTCTCATCAGGTTACTCGTGATCTTTTACACTGGGGCCCCGCCGTGAACGATGTGTAGGGCTCTCTCCGGTCCTCTCCTACCCACCTCCCCACTAACCAGTGATGTTGTTAGTGCCTACCCAACATATACAGACAGGCCTGGAATGCCCGTTGTCACAAAGGTATGATCTATTCTATTCGTCTGTCTGCATTCGCTGACTTAAAGCAAAGCTTCCCAACGGCAAATATTTCTATATTTACGAATACGGCTCCTTCTTCAATACTTCCGACTATTCGTTCCCCTTATACTACCGCATCAGTGCCGATCCAGAGGGCTTCATTAACGCAAAGCATCACGAACTCGTCGTGTCAAGCGGCACAGTCCCGACATCTTCTCCGTACGTTACTTGGACACCGTGGGGAGGAAGGAATGGAACTATTGTGGTCAGCTCGGGTACACAAGACACTATATTCGTGAACCAGGCTCTTGGTGAGGGCGAGTGGACTGAGGTGCCAACCCCTGAACCACACAGTTACACTAGGAACTTGCGTATCCTTAAGGAAGATCCTCGATTCGTGTTGTTGCATGGCGCAGGTGTACTTCTTGGGGAAGAGAACAAGGTCACTGTGAGCTTGTTGAATTTGGAGGAGGCGCTAGGCGCTCTGTAAGAGACGGCAGATTTGAGATGTAGGTAGCTGATAGAAACTCATTGTTGCGTCTGAGGAAAGCTGGGCCCGGGGCCTTGGGATTGGATTCAACACCGTAGTGGTATTTGTAAGTTCTACAGTCCGGTAGTTATGGCCCCGTGCGTGCAGATGAACAGCGATGGTTGCATCGAGGGAGCATTTGGAAGGTCACTTGACCGGGCACACACCAGCTTCCTCTTTCAAAGTTAGTCATTTGTCAACTCTTGACGACGCAAACACCGAAACGCAAAGTCCACTGTCCATCCCAATTATTCTCCTCGGATCCTCATAACGAGTCGTCGCAGGCTTCACGGAATCACAGCAGATCCAAAGGGATCAGCACTTTGCCTTTCTCCACAGGACTAGAAAGTTAGTTCGTCTCACATTGCTGCTTCGTCTCCGTCGTAATCCACGCTGACAGGTGCCAACTCGCCAAGCACGAGCGAATTCCAAATGCCCTTTGATGAATGATTCGCTCAGATTACAAGTTCTGGGGCTCAATTCCGGGGTTGGAGAATTTACCCAAACCATATTTTGAAGCAACTAGAGTTCCTCGACGCGATAATTGCCGGGTTTCTCTCCGAAAGCCTGCCAGAAGCTAAAATATGATTGGCTATAGGAGCTGACAACAGAAGAAGTTTCAGCCCAAGCCCAAAGGGCTTGACGGCAGCCAGTCGGCGGGTGGAAAAAACATTGTCACATTGTGGCCCATGCGTAGGGTCCACACGCAGATTCCAGGAATACGACTTGAACTCTCCCCCCCAGTGAACCCGGAATTAACCCGAGGACCCCGTCCCGAGCATATGGTGGACGCAATGTTCCGAAGGGTGTTTTTTGCGATTATGGTTATGACAGCTTTTCTCTTTCGGGATGTGGTATGCATGCGCCACTTAACTCCTCTATGAGACCAAGCTACAGGGAATACTTCGGTAGCTCTTGATGCCTGAGGTGATACATCAACCCTCGTTTTTCAACAAGGCAAACCCACATGCAGTAGCCTCTCGCTTAACGAATCTGAGCAAAGTTCTCCGTTGGTGCTAATGCATGTCTGGGCCTTTGACCGTCTTCGCAAGAGCATAATGCCACACATTCCATCACTTACGGGGAAGCTCTGATAGGTGTTCCTTTTCGGCTCTCATGTGGCGGTATCTGTAATAATCTCATCTGCCACCAACACCGAAAGATCAATAATACACACACATAAGCGTCCTCAAGCATCCCAGTAATGTTGGCCTAAACCAGGTGCAAGATGAGCCCCTCGCGGGTATCAGCTCCTGTGGTGGCAACGGACCATCATCAAACCTGGCAATTGGCAATAATAAGTTTTATACTCCAAGCATCCTTGCTCGGAATCAGGTCGATATGATATAGTCCGTGGTTTTGTGCACCATCAGTCACATCGAGAACTGTACTGATTTCATTAGCCGCCCGGCTTCCCTTGCATGATATCTACTGCTTCTAACATTCTGAAATCGTACTTTAGCATTATTATGTCTCGAAGAAGCTGATTTAAGACATCAAGATGGCGCAGGGATATCGAAATAGCCAGTTCCTGGTGCGTAACAGCTTCGAAGCGCCTCTCCTGGGAAACCACGGACATATCAATCTTGCGGTCAGAGAAAAACTCCTGGTCAAACAAAAGTTTCAAGTTTTTAGCGGTATGACTTGTCCAAGTCTGGCGCCGCGCAGCTCCCGACTTTCCCATACTCATCATAGTAACCCTCGATTGTCGAGGCATCTGCATGATGCGAACCAGAGTATGAGAGCTGGCTGCTCCAGGGTCGGAACTCATGAGACGTGCCCACAACTTTTCTTTCGCCACCCTTTTGTTTATGACAATCGATAGGAAAATTCATCCGGATATACTCGGTAGATCGTGATGCGACAATTTTCGAAGTGCTCCGTGCACGACACTGGATCTCCGCCTGACGGTTTACCGAATCCTCAATGCTGTTATGGTCTGCACAGTGCACGCTGCACACTGCCACACGCCCATCCACTTTCTTCATTGCTTTTTCCCAAGTAGGCTAGGATTATAATCCCTGCTTCTGACCCCTCCCTGCGTTGGATCAGCCGCTCAATTTTTTTGAACGCCTGCATCTGGCAGAAACAAAAAGTAGCAACGAATCAATGCACTGGGCTCGACCTACGCAAAGGGCGTCACAAGCCTGCATTTGCGGTGCAGGCTTGTGAGTTGTGTCCCTTAGAAGGGGCAAATATCTGCACCCATCATTCATGACGACCGATTGGACCTGACAATGTCCGGCCTGAACCTATCATTTGCTCGATAAATGAACGCGAGGTTGGCCACTCCTGCCGCAGGAAACCCACATGTCTGTTTTGCCACTGCAACATCCCTGAAGATGTTCTGTGAAAACGTAAGTAGATGCCTGGACTGTCGAAAGCGCCAGTTACATCATGGGTTGTTGCTCTTGTCGGTCGCCTTCAAAGGGAATTTCGAGCCCTAATCTTAGTGACTAACGACATAAGCTCAGCCGAGTCTTTGTATCCTCCCGTGCGTGGCGATTCAAGCCCCTCTTAGCTTTCTGGGCAAGTTTGAGTAAGAGGAGCTCTTTATGGGTTGGAAATATAGTTACAACTGGAGTTGTTTCCTTACAGGGCATTCTTTCTGTTGCTGTTTGTCCCGGTTCGTGGCTAATGCTACACACATATGCAGCGGACACGCACGCCTCGCTAATACTTTCATTCCGTTTCCCCAGATCTGCCTCTTTTACCTCCATCCCCTTTCCTCCGCACGGCCACAGGCTGAACGCTAGCTGAGGTAGGACACAAGAGTCCGTTACTGTATGCTGTTCGATTTCAATAGCAAACAGTCAACTGCCAACCGCTGCCCTCGAATTTCTGTCCCTGTGCCGTTTTATAATAACTGTTACTTCTATTGTGTCGCTGTTGTTATCTGTGTTTTTTTTGTCATGGCGGTCTCGCTTTTGCCTTGAATAGCTTGTACGCGACAATTTCTTGGTGGTCGAGGCACCATTCAGATCAACCAACATATGCATGCCTCTTGTCGATACCCCCTGGTTGGAAATATCACCCTAAGAAGAGAATGCTCTCTCGCGTTGCTGGACTATCAAGATAGGGTGTAACTCCTTAATCACTATTTATTCTGCGCAGGCAGGTCATTTTGTTGAGCTTTCATCAATTGCATACCACACACTCTCATGTTTGCCTGAGCCTTTGGCATTGCTTTTGTGCGCCGATTTTTGAAGACGATCTATTCCCCGCCGGTGCCCTGTCTCAGGTATCCATTGACCGCTCCTTGACTTCTTGATGACTACCTACGTGGGCCGCCAAAACGCCGACATACATCGATTCGGGCAGAAACCTGCGCAGATCGCAGAAAGTTCCATCCAGGCTTGTGAACTTAGTCCTCTCCAGATGTCCGGGGCGCCATTCCAACCATGGACATATATCCCCGATGGCAGATATACGAACGCTAGGACATATGAAACCGAAGCAGACCATCAGAAGCACACAACAGCTTCAAACCCTCCTTATCTGGCGCAGGAACCCCCGCGATTCCATCTTCCTGTCATTCAAAGTCAGGAGCCGACAATTATGCAAACTGCAAGCCATCCCAGACTTCCGGTACAGTCCCAGACTTGGGATGGCGGAGCCGATTCGAAGTATAACTTCGCGCCAAACACAACCGGTTCCCTGGCACAGTATAGCATACAGCGGCCAAGCATGTCAAAACCCATGATGGAACATGCGGGGCCTTCAAGTTCATACTATGACCCTTCAAGCCGTAGCCGTGGTTCTGTCGGCTCCTCTGGTCGAATCAACGACGTGGATTCGCAGTAATTACCCCCTCTCATACTTTGTGTATTCGCCCGATCAGGATACCTGAAGGGGAGTATCCAGACCTTGTCACCCTTTTTCATGCTTTTATTTCCCTTCCATTTGTCAGATTGCTTCGATTGTCCATGACAATGTTCACATTCCAGTTTCGATGAACTTTGAATCTAATACGTGGCGTTCAGATATAGTAGTAGTTCTGCAACTTTCCCGAGTCCCGTTCACTCCGATAAGAGCCCTGTGACCTTTCCAACGATAGCACCTCTGCCAGGCTACCAGCAGCTTCCGATACACCAACGAAATGCCACAGCCGGCATGCCATCCGATTTCAAGATCTTGCTTCACCACCCACCAACGCCGTCCCCGCCACCACGACGTACATCAACTTCTTCTCGCTACCACCTCTCCATCAGACAACAACCGATAGCTGCACGCGCCTGTGGTGCTGGTGATAGAGATAGACGGCCCGTGGACCCCCCACCAATACTGCAAATGCTTATCACAGATTTCAACCCGGACTCCGAAGAAGACAAAACTATCCTCCAAGACCCCCGATTCACAGTTGGGTGCCTTTTGTACCCAGTCCATGATCCATCCTGGTCAAATAAATCATCAAACTGTAAAGGCCGTCGGGATGGCAGGGATTTAGGCATAAATATCGAAGATAGCAATGCCCCTGGTCAGTCCACGCCATTACTCTCCGGGAAATCCTTCGTTTCGCCCTTCTACGTGGACGAAGAACCAGACCCTGACACTGCGCCCTCACACCCCTCCGCCGACAATGGCACTTCAAAGGCACCCGCAAGAAGGTCCAGTGGTGACACTGGCCACAATTCGTCGAGACCACCAGCCTCGTTCTTCATATTCTCCGACCTCTCCGTCCGCACGGCTGGACTGTACCGCTTACAATTCCGGCTCATGAACTGGGGCACTGTAGAAGATACTGACCAATCCATGCCTATCCTCGCCGAAGCATGGTCTGAGCCATTCCAAGTTTACCCCGCCAAAAACTTCCCCGGAATGCGCGACTCGTCATTTCTCACTGTGAGGTTGAAGGAACTAGGGTTTGTGGAGCTGAAGACGAGAGGGAAGGGAATGGGGAAAGGAAGAAGGGTTGTGAAGGCTGATTCTAAGACCAATAGAAGTGATTAGGTGCATTCTGGGCATGTACTTAGGTTTTTCTTATACGCTCCTGGTTGGCTTCGTTTGTTTTACTGGCGGGTTTATGCTTATGTTTGTTAGTTTGGCGGTTTAATACTGGTGTCTTTTTTTTTTTTTTTTTTTTTTTTTTTTTTTTTTGCGTACTTACGATGAAACGAGTAAAGAAGGAGGCGTTGTCGGGAATACCATTGATGTTTCGTTGCGGACGTTACTTTTGGTGTGCTCATCACGATGCCGCTCAATATATACAGCATTCATAGGCCTAGTGACAACGAACTTTACGGACCACGTAGATCTTGCGACTTGGCTCATAATGAGAAAGCCAGGTATTCCAGTATTGGCCATTGTGAGTTTTCAAAGCTAATAATTCAGAATATATATATACATGGCCACTGAACGAAGAAGTATGAATGCAGATAACGAGATATTGCCGTAATTAGGTGCCATGTGCTACACATCAAGAGGCAACCCTACTGGCACGTTCGTTCCTTCCCGGAGTGCTGCCATGAGTTTTTGAGCCGAGTCCGTCATTTTTGAGGGGTCTGCGCGCTCTTCAACTTCTTGAAATACTGCCCGTGCAGCCTCATGGTTACCGTCCTGTCCATGGAGCAGAGAAAGATGCAGTCCTGAACCGAAACAATCTTGGGCCAAAGCAACATGGTACCATTCCATCGCCAGGGCGCGATACTCGTGAAGAGGACGCGGGCCAAAGTGGGACAGTAATGTTGATAGAGCGCCCTTCGAGTTTTCTGTCTCCGTCGAGTCTATGTCCCCTGTAGTGATCTCAGCAGTCGCCTGTAACTTTGTAGATTTTGCATCCCGCGTCCCGAGCTGCGGATATTTTCCAACTGAGATGAGATAGTAGAAGTTGGCTAATTTCCGGCACGCGTCTTTTTCCCCAGCCGCAGCTGCCTGTCCCATGTATGTTTCGTATTCCTGTATCCCACTTTCCTCCCCCATGTACCTGGCATATTGCATCAGTGCAATTGGGTCCTGGTACTCTACCGCCCCGAGACGTAACGCATCCACTTCCTCCTGGGAGAGTACATCATTTGCTTCCCCTTTTTTGTCACCACGGCCTCTCTCCCCCCCCCGAATTTGAGCCCACCTCAGCTCACGCTTTAGCCATGCGAGCAGCTGCCACGGTGGTTCAAGGAGGTTAGTAATATTTAGAGTCGACTTGCGATATACTCGACTGGGTTCAATCAATGGCAACACCTCCTGGACTAGTGCTATACCCTGCTCGTACTTCCCATATAGGCCCAAATATTTCGCGTAAAGGAGCTTGACTCGCGGGTCAGAATTATGCGGCTCACTCTTGGACTGCGCAATGGCGGCAATTCGAGAAAGTGAGGTATCAGACGAAGGTTTGCGAACTGTGGTTGCATTATACACGTTACCGCCGCCGTGACAAGCCTGGAGAGCACGAGCTGCAACAATTAAGAGCGCCGCCAGCGACCCAGCACGGAAACAGGAAGCGATCACCAATTTAATAGCTCCAGCGTTCCCTCGCACAATGACAAAGCCGATATCTAGAATGGTGTCCAGGTCTACGTCTTCGTCTGTATCATGTATAGAAGAAAATATCAGTCAGCCAATGAACAAAATATGGACTGGTTGAATGAAGTAAGCAATAATAGTGGTGACATACCCCGCGCAATATTGCGAATTACGTCCGGAGATATAGTGTTCAACGTGTACAGATTCCGTAACAGCGTTGCTCCGATCCGTTTGAATTTCTTGGGTGTCACATTCTTATCAAGCACCCCATCCCTTAGCATTATACTAACAAGTGGGAATGCATTCTTTTCGAGGGTTTGCAGGTGAGCCTGGAGTTGAGCTTGAGCTTCGGCGACGCTGTTTCGAGACGGGATGTCTTCCTCAGGAGGGCTCTTGGAGAGTCGGTGGCCCAGAGACCCGGGTCTGCCAGTGTCTTTTATTTGAAAGGCTTTTTTTCGGGTAGAAGGCGCCGGCCGAGCTGCGCTGCGAGAGGATGTGGTGTGCAGAAGTCGCGAATGCGCGAGGTTGTGGTTGTCCGGTTTACAGGGAAGGTGATTGTTGATCGCGGGAGAGAGAAACGTACGGGTGCGCGGTATGAGGAAAGTACAGTGATTCTGTAGGCGGCTCAATTCTCGTGGGTTCGGAGGACGTGTGCGCGACATGACTGTTGTTGGGGGTGAGTGCAAGAAAAGAGACGGAGAGTTGCGGAGAAATAAAACTAGGTCGGAGAGCGTCCGTACACCAAATGGTAATGGGCTGGTTTCTCAGCTGCGTTCGGCTGCACTGGACCAGTGTTTGGGATTTCAAATGAGATTGGAATATTTTGGAATGACTTTATAAAAGCTTTGGATTAAAAGAAAATAGTTCATAATTGTCTACGAATAGCCAACCTCCACATACGCAGTCTATAAGAACTGGCCGAGCAGTAGAACGAACGATGCAGAGCTGATTCCTTCCTTCTGGATAAGAAAATAGTCCAAAGTAGATGATAATATACATTCGTTGCCTATCTCCCACTTTCCGGCCAAGTTATCAAAACACCTTCAGAAAGACACAGATATATGACAGAAAAGAGAAAACACGTCTAACCGGAAAGCGGGAGAAAGCAACCGACACACCCCTCTCAAGAAAACAACATGTATTCTACTCCATAACAGCCTTCGCACCAACAGCCTTAAGCGTCTCAATAAGCTTCTCTGCCTCCTCCTTGGGCACGCTCTCCTTAAGAACCTTCGGCACGGACTCAACGAACTTCTTGCTGTCAACGAGCGACAATCCGAGAAGCGTCTTAACCTCCTTAATAGCCTTGGCCTTTGAGGCAGCCTCGACAGCCTCAAGCTTGATGTTGAAGAGAGTCTTTTCCTGGGCGGGAGGAGCAGCCTCCTCTTCTTCTGCTGCGGCGGCAGCACCGGGGGCGCCAGCTCCGGGGGCCATGGCGAAGCCACCAACGGGGAGGTCAGGGATGTTTAGGCGGGACTGCGAATTGGAACATTACGTTAGTTTCAAAAGTCGCAGGAGGACTGGCGCTGTGTAATGTATAAAAACCACTGGAATGGCCCGGGAGAGTATCAATATAGCGCTATGTAGGGACTCACCTTCAGGCTAGCAACAAGGTCGGCCGTTTCTAACAAGTTCAATTGGCTGATCTGGTCGACAATCTGCGTAATCTTGGGGTTTGCGGGTGCAGCAGCCTCTGCGGACTGCCACCTCCGGCCTATTGTCTGCTGATATGGTGCGGAAAGGCGAAGGGAAGCGGATGGGCGGACGAGCTGTCTGCAGCATCGAGCTGCGGCCTGGGAAGTCATCGACATGGTGGAAGGCAGAATGGAGGATAGAATCGACAGAATTGACGCGAAAGAAAGGAATTATAAAGGTGGTCGTGACGCTCTCGTTCGATCAAACAGTTCAAAAGGCGCAACCGAAAAAGAAAGTCAACTTTCGGGATGGAAAATCTGGCGCCGTCACGTGACACCAGCACCAGGCCTAGTATCTACGAGCCCAGTCACTTTCGTCTGCGAATATTACAGTTATGTATTTTGAACATAATATAGATTATATCTACTGGGCAGATGAGATCTGAATTATAGTAAAAACGCTTGTTGGCTCAGTCAGCCATAAAACTGCACTCGCACTCCTCCGCTCAATCTTCTTCCTTCCCTCAAAATAGCATATCAATACATTGTACATGAAGGTATAAACAGCATTATAATTCGAGAGTACTTTTCCTCGTTTCAGTCCATCTCGCTGCTTTGTTGTTCCTCGGAGAACGATCTATCCACGCTTGGAATACCTCTTCATGGAACGTTTTTGCTCCTTCTGCTGTTCACGGTCAAGGAACTTCCGCTGCTCGTCGGCATTCATACCGCGGAGAGTCCGCTCCCTCTCTTCCTTCTTCAGCTTCTCAGCCATCAACTTGCGCTCTTCGGCCTTCTCCTGCTCATCCAGGCGGCGCAGCTTCTTGATCTCCTCCTCACGGACGTTCCGGATCTTGCGCATAACCTCGGGCCGGAAGTGGCCAAGGTTCACAAGTCTGTCGGGCAACCGTAGGAACTGGGTAAATAGCGGCAGGGTAGAAGCGTAACCGGAAGCAGAAGAGGCAAGAGATGCGACGAGCTGGATGCGCTTGCGTGGGGCAGTTTCCTCGATCCTAAGAATAGCGGTTAGACCATAGTCGCAGTTCAGTAGTAATGTACAACAATACTTACTTGGTAGGCTTGTCGATTGGCTGATCGGTGACAATAAGGTACTTAAAGCTGTTGCCCGCCTTCTCCACGGCCTCGATGAGCTCCGGGGTGAGAAGAGTTTCGGTAATCTCGGCGTTTTCGGTCATAATAGTCACCCACTGGGGCAATTTCGCATTGTCCTTAGTAAAGGTCATCGAAGCGTCGTATCTGTCATTCCGGAAGTTACGCATGTGGCTCTTGTGGACAATCGCGAAGATAAAGCCATCATAAGCCGAGTTGTTGACCTTGAGACCAGAGGTATCCTTGCCCGGAACTGGAACCAAGTCCTTCTCTTTGCCATCGAAAGTGTATGCAGTAGCCTCGAAGATCTCTTCGGGTGCAGGCCAGCTTTCAAAGAAGAATGAAAATGCCTGGTCCATCCAGTAGGTAACTGGGTTGGCGCGCTTAGGCATCTTAATAGCAACATCAAGAAATGCGACGTTCTGACGACCGGTCGCGTAGGCAGAAAATTCCTGGGCAGAGTTCTCCTTCAGAATAGACTCGGGGTTGGTCAATTCCACAGACACGGAGTCGTCCGATTTCTGGATGCCATCAAATCCAACCACCGCAAACTCGTCTCGGAGAGGGGAAGCATGGGCCTTGGCCCATTCCGTCGCTCGTCGTCGATTTTTACGGGTGCCCCAGAAATGGAACAGAACAATTAAGATGATAATCGGTAGAACCATTGCTTCTTGCATGAAGTCCTTTGGGGATGTGCGCTCCCACACCCGATACCATTTCGTGTACACGACGGGTTGAGCGCCATTCTGGCCAAATGGTGCCGACGGAGAGCCGACGATGGGAGCTTCAGGGGCCTTGACAAAGTCGGCGAAATCTGGGGTAGGAAGGAAAGTCAGCTATCCGAGCTCAGTCAAAGATCGGGGCCCCAACTGAGAGCAAAAGAAGCGCAGGACTTACCACCATCCTCTAGTGTGACGGAGCTGGACGGCTGGGCGCCGCCAAAAACGTTCTTGAGAACTCCCGCCATTGCGAGGGGAGGAAAAGCGAGAGGGAGAGTAGAAGTAGGCCCGGGCGGAAAGCAGTCGAGAAGGGCGGAACTGCGAACGTGGCCTGGGGAAAGGAGAGAAGCGAGAGGAAACCCGGGGCGATGGGGAAGGCAAGTTAAGTGTTGGGTTTGGGTGGCATAATTAATTGACGTCCGCCGCAAAAGCCTAGCTTGGTGGAGCCCCGAGCTCAAGCCCGCCATTCGCCGCAGCGGCCAAGACTGATCAAGATATCGAATCAACGGGGGGAGAGATACGCAGTAAGAAAGGTAGGATGGAGCTGGGGTAGGTAGGTAAAATCTGAGTCTCGTTTTATATATTGTGATAATTCATCAAGACAAATTCCATGCAGGCCAAATAAACCAAAGCCCTCCGTTTTGCTCGCCCATCCCAAGATATACCGCCCAAACCTATTAAAATCTCCCGACAAGCGACGACCAAGCAATTAAACAAAAGGCTCGCAAAATAGTGAGCGAAGTGGTATCCTGCAAAGAAAACAGACAATGCGCAAACAAAATAAACGCCAGTTATTTTGGTAACAGTACAGCCCAGACTTCACAAATTTCTAAACACGCTTCAAAGCAAACATTAGGAGATCTCAGACTTGTCAACAATAATGATTAAACGCAAGTAAGTTCGTAGCGGTCGTTATACACTCCAGGCCTGCCGGAGGCAGGCGAAAGAGAGAGAGAGAGAAAGAAAAAGGAAAGAGTAGAGAGTGGATGGCAGTAGTAAATACCTGCCAGCGCAGTTCAGCGCTCGATCGTAGCACAGAAGGCTAGTGAATACTCAGTGACCATAGGCCGGAGGTGGGGTTTCCTGATGGCTCAGTCGGTCCCAAAACGGATTGCATGAGCTAGAGTCGGACACTTTCTCGTCTCGCATGCGGCGCGCAATTTCTCCGGCCAGTCTTTCAACTAATGCTTGATCAACAATACTGGAGCCTGGCGTCTCTTCCGCGAAAGGGAGAATTGTGGAAGGCAATTGCCTCAGGGGCTCGGTCTCAACCTTCCCAGTATGTAGGTCGGGCTCATCGCGAGAGCGCATCGTTGCTCTTGGAGTTGCATCAATGTCCAGGGCCTCGGACGACCTGGGGTCAAAAGAAGAAGGCTCTCCAGACTGGCCAAGAGACGAGGGCCTATGACGAAAACTAGGCCGAGAAATGCTCATATGGCGCCGTTCAGGAATGGACGGGAGCTCCAGCCCAGCGTCAGGTGACAATGGGGGCGTTACAGGATCATCAGGCTGCTCCCTCACGATAGGCAAGGGTGCTGAATACACGGATGGTGTGCCGGTTGACTCGGTAAATGCACTCTCATCGCTCACGCTCGAGGCGTCGTCAGTCGTCTTAGGGCGCCGCAGGTCCACGACGCGCTTCTTCCTCTTCCTAGAGTGCGCTTTAGAGTGCCGACTAGCTCCCATAGTCAAGCCGTAGCTGCTTAGACTATGCGTAGAAGCCGAGGACCTAGTTTGCGATGAAACCATGCTAGCAGTATCTGGGAAAGACGACATATTTCCGGCTTGGGAATGCGTCCTTGAAAGCGCAGGGCTCACTGGAGATAACACGCCTGCAGTAGCCTCGCCAGTATCAGATGGCGACGTCCATGCGCGGTATACAACCTCTCGGATGGAGGGAGTAAACAGTGACAAAGTCCTCTGAGAATCGGTAAGGGCACCAAGTCGCAAGAGGTTCTTCTGTGAGAACAAGGAATGTGTCTCAACTGAAGAATCAAGTGATAACGAAGCAATATCCGACTCGTTTAAGGCATGACCCAGGGCGTCCACGGGGTCTTGTGGGGGACTAGCCAAAGGATCTTGGCCTGGACCGTCCGTAGTAGCGGTGGTCCCTTGACTTTCTTGTGCCTCTCCATCACGATATTCTGGAACCCATAAGCGCAGCGATAGGCGATGGATTATAGCTGGGAGTTCGTCCATAAACAATATTCGGAGTTGCGCTTCTATCTCTTTTTGGAGAAAGTCCCGGACGAACGGGATCGAGTCAAATGTCGAGGAAACCTTGAGCGACTCCAGCGGGTCATTGCGAAATACCACCGTGATCCCTTTTTGCTTCGAAAAAACCAACACGACGAAACCGGATAGCTTGAAGTCGGATAGTGTGATTTGGAGAGGAATGGTAAGGGGTGTCCTAAATTGAGGGAGAAGGTCAGAATATGCGAAACAAGCTAAGGCGCCGATCACTACTCACGCTGCAGCCAAAGGTAATGGAGACGCAAAAGATGGCCTTGTCAGAAGATAGGTGTTGAGGGGGTTGGCTTGAACACGGGTCTTGAGCGTTAAAAAGGCGTCGCCGGTGTAAGACATTTTGAAGATGCCGCGAAATCGATCCTCTGCCAGGTCTCCAACCTCCAAAATCTCCAGCTCGGGCGGAATAGAACCAAGGTTGAGCTCTGTAACGATGATATCGTCGACAATGATCGGAGGCTTTGGCGACTTATTGAGAGCGGTCGTTAGGAGATCCTGCGCGCGAGTGTAAAAATTCGCGTCCGCGGTCAGCGGCGACCAGTTGAAGTTGAACGCCATCGCAGATCATTGAGAAGAAGAGTCTCAATGAACAGCAGCGTTATATAGCGTAAGGAAGGTGGGCGGAGGTTAGCCTTGGAGGCTTGGATGGATGAAGAAGGGATGGCGAGAGGGAAGAATGAAGTCGGGAATATGGGAGGCTTTGCTCTCCTGTGGGGGCGCGGCGATAAGAGCAAAAATGGAAAAAGACGGGAAGAAAAGGGAACCCCGAGGATCACAAACCCGCGAGCCAACACTCGCGTGATCGACGCGACGGCGAGGCCTCTGTGACTGTGTCTGCGAGGATGTTTCTCCTGAATGTTCTTTTTGATTGGAGATTGTTCTTTGCCCTCCAAGCGACTGGAGAAGTCGCCCGTCCACATCGCGTGCTCTTTGACAGCCGTTTGTCTTCCTCGGTCCAGAGAGGCGGGAAAGACGTCACTGTGCAGAGCCTTTACAATTTATTATGGAGACAGCAGACTGGACCCGGTCTATCCATACACAGGCGCTGCATACAATTTGATGATTCAAGATCGACTCAGGAAACATGACTTCTCTCCACACATATCCGGGCTCCTCCGAAAAAAAAAAACGTTCCGGACTATTTCCAAGAACAACTTCTCTGAGACTATCTATACGGACGGGACTCACGGGAGTCGTCTTCTTTCTCCCGCTCTGGGCCGGTACTAGTTTGCCCCTTTAATATTATGTTTCACGCGTATCGAAGCTAACCGTGTCTTAGATCCCGCCCCAATTACCCGCCTAATGCTCCCTCGGACCCTCACTGAGTCACTGAGCGCTTGTACTTTGGGTCTAGAAGCTGAGGCGCTCGTTACCAGCCCCCCTGGACCACTCCTCGAATCTCAACCATGGCTTCACATCTAAACATCGGGCTCCCACAAGTCCATGCTGCGAAAGGGAAGAAATGCATCCCCCCGACCAATGATTTCATCTCAGGCACCTGGCACGTAACTCACTCCAGCCTTCCGCTGTGGAAAGGCAAGCAGAATGTCAGCATCACCTACGAGCTGCTCCCTCCCGACTCCTCAGGCGTCATCAAGATCGACGACCTAGTCAAGTACCAAGCTGCAGGGTCGGAGAAAATAAAGTCAGTCCACGGCATTGACACCCCAAGCCCAGGTAATCAAGGCGCTTGGGACTGGCGAGGCAAAGGTTGGTTGATGATCGCGAGCTCGCATTGGGAGTGCCTTGGGTGTGGCCGTGCAGACGATGACAACCAGTGGGTTGTTACATACTTTGCCAAAACTATTTTTACGCCTGCCGGGATTGACATCTATTCTCGGACCAAAAAAGGTCTCCCCCCGACATATGTCGAGGAGATACTCAAAGCGCTCAGAGAGCTAGAGGTCGAAGAGATAACGACGCTGGCCAGCGAAATCTTCCAGGTCCCGCAGAACTAATTATACAAAGTAGGCTCTTAACGACATCTTCCAACGCATTAGACGTAGCTCTTTCTCTCATTCTCAATAACAAATATATGATAACTGGCCAGTCATCCTTATACCATCGAACGACGGCACGTGCCGAGCTCTTTTGTATGACATAACCGGATGCCAGGTGGCGTCCCCCTAGCAACCCTGCGCTAGTCCATTTAGAGAATTAGGTCAACATCCGAGCCTGCAGCTTCTAAATTGGTTCTCCCAAAATTAGTTCGAACTGTCTGAACAAACTTGAACGCTCCAGACTCTCCGGTACTCACTCTTGCGGTGACGGTGTTCCGCAATATCAAGCCGTCATGGCATCACCCTATCCCCAGACCTTCGCTGAAGAAACAACCTCACGGCGACGCAATACGAGACCACCAAGTACACGTACCTCCAAGCGAAATGTATACGGAAAACGGAGAACAGACGCCCCAAGGGCAGTGCTCGAAGAGCGAAGTCCCGCGAAACCCCAGGCCATCACGGACCCCGATGCGGTTCAAGAATCTGTCGATTGTATGGAGGCAAAGTTGGCGAATATCCAACTGGATGAAACGAAGACAGCGGAATATATGGAAGAGGAGCATGACCAAGGTGATACCAGCACAGAGATTGCCACGCCTACTGATGTCGTTATCGAGACGCCTGAGTCGACGCCCACATCCCTCACAGAGCTCGCCCCGGTTCAACAACCGTCAACGAACGCCACTCCGGTCGCCAAGAAACGATTCTCAGAAATGGTGGCAGTGAGAATAACACCAAGGGTTATCCCGCAAGGATCGCAGGGACAAGCGAAGAAGGTGACAAATAATACTCCTGCCGCGCTAGACAGCTGCAAGCGAAGCGCAAGGAAGACCAAGCCGACCCGACGGACCTCATCCGGATATGTCTCCAACGAAAAGGCGACTTCCTACGTTCGTTCTATCCTGGATCAAACACTGTCACCAGTGGCGGCCCAGGGCATTCAGAGATTCGATTCATGGGCTGCGCGTGCAGGTGGAATGTTGGAAGTTGTTAAATTGGCCGAAGGCTCTTATGGAGAGGTCTATAAGCTCAGGTTGAGAGAGGATATATGTCAGAAGGAAATGTCCAAATCCAAACTGGCGCGTCTCAAGGCATGTGGTGACGGTGTTTTCAAGGTTGTCCCTCTACGGGCCCAGAGCGGTCTTGGATCAAAGAAGTTTACCAGCATTGAGGAAATTGTGGCGGAGGTGAAAATGTTAAAATACCTGGATCCGATACCGGGCTTTGCGCGATTCAGAGAGATTCACGTTGTGCAAGGTCGATTTCCAGAGGCATTCCAAAAGGCCTGGGACCACTACAAGAAAACAAAGGACGACTGCCTTAACCCTAACCCTTCAAGTAAACGAGCCTATCCAGATTCACAAATCTGGGCGATTATCGAAATGGACGATGCGGGCTGTGAACTTGAGAAGTTTTCCTGGTCATCGATTTTTCAGGTTTATGATATCTTCTGGGGTGTTGCCATGTCCTTGGCTCGTGCTGAAGAATATGCTTTATTCGAGGTAAAATCCCTTTGTCTTACGTATGGATACAAGTATGAATTTCATCTAATCTCAGCTTAGCATCGCGATCTTCATCTTGGCAACGTCTGCATACGGAGCACGCGGTCAAATGGTCACATGCATCCACCATCAGACATGGATGTCATGCGCCAAGCAGGGTCAAGCTCAAGTGGTTACGGGTTGAGCACTTTGGAGACAACTCTTATTGACTATTCCCTTTCGCGGGCGGAATTATTGATGGATGGAACGGCGGAACTGATGGAAGTAACCTCTTCAGACCTGGATAAAAAACAGATTTTTGATGCGATTGGTCAAGACGAAGACGACGCTCTACTAAGGGACACATATCGACAGTGAGTTTTCCCTCTCCAGGAGGCGGTAAAAAGGCACTAATTATGTTCATAGCATGCGCGCCCAGTTATACACAGGCAACCCAGTCGACACGGAGAAAACACCTGATATCTCCGGAATTTGGGCGGAATATGCCCCTCGGACGAATCTGATCTGGCTCAGATTTCTCCTTAAAATGTTGCTAAGGAATAAGAAACCCGAAGCTCCAGAGCCTGTGGCCCAGAAGCTGCGGCAACCTCTTGCCCCGCGTTCATCCAATAAAGAAATCAAGAAGACAACCAAATCAGACAAAAAGCAAGTCGCGGTTAACGAGACCCAGATTGGCCCAGATGTCCACACCACAGTCATGCAGCTAAAGCAGACTCTCGAGGACAGGCTTAACGCTGTTCTTGAGCTTCTAGATCTGGAACACGGTCACCAAGACATGTGTTGTGCCGCAGATTTAGTTGCATTTGCCATGGATGCCCAGTGGCTAGGTGAGCAGGATTTCTTTTCTGCGTGATGAGTTTGGCATTACGGTGTGTCGTTACTTTTTTATTTTTGATATGTGTTTTGGCGAGCATCATACATTGCATTGGCGTTGTATAGACAGTTACATTAGCAGGGTGTTTTGAGCATTTTTTTGGGTGTGGTGTGTTTTGTTTCTTTTAGATGCTAATAATACATACTCATTTAACGTCAACATATAATACAAATCCTTATCTTCAGTATTAATGTAAATGTACGACGCTTGACAAAATGCGTATAGGTCAATTGTCAAAAGAGGTTAAATAAATATATATATATATTCCACCAAAAGTCATTCTATGGACTAGGTAATCAACAAACCAGTAAGATAGAGTATGAATAAAATTCAACAAAACGCCGTTTATCTTCATGTCTCATAAATGCTACAAAATGAAAAATATAAGAAAAATATATTTCGCTCATGCCCCAGATGCAAAGAAGCTCAAGAGACTTCCCGTCGCTAGACCACCAACCAGCATGAGACTCATAAACCCGCCAGCAGGTTCACGCTCATCCGCCGAAACAAAGTAGCCTGCGCCCATCATACAACAGCTCGAGAGGTACCCATTCGTGACGCCGAATAGTGCCTGGACGATAAAAAGGTAGAAGAAGTCGCTCTGTACGATGGCGCCCCGACCGCCGACGTTACAAAGCAAGTAAAGAGGGATGAATCCTGCACGGGCAAGGGCGATGGTGAAGAGTGCCCAGGGCCGGTGCGCTATCGAGTAGCGTGGGTTGAGGACAAGAATTCTGGCGAGGAGGTCGCCAGCGTTCCAGAAAAAGAACGCCAGTGGGATGAAAACGGCTGGTTGGTAGAGTCGAGAGCTGCCAGTGCGGTCGTTGACAGACTCAATTTTGGAGGTGTATACAGGAAAGATCATTGTTATCGCGAAGCAGAGGTAGATTGAGATAGCGGGGAGCCGAAGCTTTGAGAATAGTGTCCAGAGGCCCACGGTCTTGTTGGGTGTTGTGTCAGCATTAGAAGATTCAGATTGGTAGTCAAAGACATGCTCGGCCTGTCGCTTCGTGAGCCATACAAAGGAAACCAGTGTCAAAGATGATACGCCTGTTGCAGTGATGAAGCATGCAAAGGCTGATTTCCAGGACGCCTCTTGTGCCTGCTCATTCCCCGGCGCTGGCACTAGGAGGACAGAGAGCATTTGCGCCAAAGGAGGTAATACACCTGCCACTCCCT